GAAGTCCACAAAATAAAGTTGCTTTAAGTTGACGAAAGAATCAGGAAAATCACCAGATGAAATTATTTTCGGAAAGAGTTAAACAAGAGAGCTGGTCAAAATAATTTGACCCAATGACAGATCAGTTACCTGTCAAATTGAGGTTAGGCCTTAAACTAAGAATCTGTATGGCTGGTGAAGTTCCCTCACAAATCAGAAATCAGAGAAGATAGATGGTTAAGGAAGAAGGTACTAATGCAGACATGCTCACATTATCAAGAACAAGTTCAGTCAACTTAGTAAAATAATAAACTAATTCTTCCCATACAGCTGATTCAAGTCTCATGAAAGAAATATATACAGAGAGATCAAGAGAAACCATATTAGACAAGTGGGATATCTCAGTTGGAATTTTAACAGTAAAGTTTGAGTTAAGAATTTGAGAGAGATTGAAATCACTATAAGCCAGATTGAACCTCTGTAGGTAATGGAGAAGAGGCTGCTGTTGGGAGGGGAAGTTACCAGGCACAACTAAGGTCGACGCCAATCACATGACCGGTTAAAGTATCTCAAGTGACTCGGTCCCATGAGCAGCAATCAGTATCCTCTTTCCAAGACATTGTTACTTCCCCCTGCTTTTCAAGAAACAGGACATTATGTTACAAGAGAAGAGAAATTTTTTCACTTCTATTTCTTGTTTTCTATAATGTAATAAAAAGCTTATTATTATATTCTGATTTCATATGCTTCAATTAATTGGCTCCGCAGGCATTGAAAATGGGCAAGGAATATGAAATTGCTGAGTTCCCTTCAGAGCCTTCTATCCAGATCTCATGCTACGATTTTCGCCAAATATAAGAAAGTGTACCCATCAAGGGGTTTTGAGATCTCTTTTATGACTACATAAAACAATGAAATCTAGTATTACGTACCCATCAAGGGGTTCGACACTTCGGCTATTCTAGTAGAGAACAATTATTTAGTTTCACCAAGTTTATCATAGGCAATTCAACTCTTAAATAATAAGTTCCTAAGTAGTATTTTACAAATTTCTTTAAAAAAAAAAGGGTTTAGACATATATAACCAACTCAATAATCGCAATTTTTCAAAATATACATACATTATTTAGAGGACAAATGTAAGTTGTAAAATCCAATGATTACCAATTATATCTTAAATGAAACAACAGATGATATGTTCCTAATATATAACGCTATACTATGTTAAATTGTATAAAACTCAAATGTATATCATTTTAATTAAAGTATGGAAGACTATGTTAGATGGTGCTAAACTTGATAGTTTAGTACATTCCAATTATTTTTGTCTTGTTATTTTTCATCAAGAGCAATTATGTTAACCCCCATATTTTCTGTAAACCTTCTTTCCTTTAAAAAGCGGTAGTTGGAAAGAATGCCCATTCTAGGGGCATTTAGTTTTGTATGCGAAAAATGCCCACTTTCCCTTGTTTAAAATTTTTCTCTATTTTAACCCTAAAAATAATTTATTAAAATTTTAATTATTTTTATGTAATATTTATTAATAATTAAATTAAATTATTTGTTTATCCCTACAGTTACAACCATAACAATCGCTAGCCTATTATTACTAGAATCACACTTCTAACATCACTGCTTTCACATGAAGGACAAGTGATCATTGGTCATATTATTATTTCAAAACTTTTGGTAATAAAGACAGTTATGACTTATGAGATCTATATAATACAAATAGAGGGTTTAAATGAATAAATCTAACAAAACTAGAATTTAATATTATACTTTGAGAGTCTAATTAGAGTGAACAACTTTTTCCCACCCAAGGTTTGCCTGAACGATACTTTTACGACAAAAGAGTTTTAAAATACCACTTTCCCACCGAACATTTATATTATGTTAATACCCTAAATATACTTCGCTTTCCTACTTAGCATTCGAAAAGTTACTAAGAGCCAAGGTAAGAGGGTTTTTGTAGAGTAGGTCGGTGGATCAAAGGCGGTGATCAACTGAAAATTTGCTATTAGAATCATAAGGAAATCAACTAAAAATAAGAAACCCTAGATTTACGATGGCCGGTAATTGGCGATAAATCAGGTGCTAAAGTGAGATGGGTTTTGTAAAGAGATGACCGGATTAACTTTGGGTGAAAATGTGGTATTTTGAAACTTTTTATGTGGGAAAGTGTTATTAAGGCAAACCTTAGGTGAAGAAACATCGTTTACTTGTCTAATTAAAACATGCTAGACTATGTTAGATGGAAACCACATTTCAAGTATTTTTGTGTTATTCATTTCCATTAAGAGCAATTATGTTAATTTTGACATGAAGGATAAATGATCATCGGTCATAATATTATTTCAAAACTTTTCGTAATAAAAGAAAAGGTTATGGGATCTATATAATCGGAATAGAGGATTTGAATGAATAAACCTAACAAATAATTACAAAGAAATGTACTGTAATTGGTTACTATATAATTTTTCAGGTGCTTTATGAACTGAATTTGATTGCTTGTTAGACAATAGAGAAGTAACAGAATGGTTGATGTTCTCTTTTGCCAATTGACTGAATTTTCGAAGATGCAGGCTCCTTTTTTTTAATTTTTTAGAATAGTATTCCATTTTGAATAGGATTTAATCAAACATGATATAATTTTAAAAATGTGTTTGATATATTTTTTGAAAATATTTAGATTATTTTTTAACCTCATACATTTGTTAATTTACTAAACACCCCTCCAAACAATAAAAGTTTATAAATCAATAAAAACACTCTCCCACCCATCCAACTAATTATCGATAGCCACCCACCACTATCAGACAGTGATCAAAAGTCGTCAAAATGATGCACGATCAACTGGATCTAGTCGGTGGTGTGACGAAATGGTCGAAAATAGCCAGATCTATAGCCAAAGATCTGATCGTTGATGACAGCTATCTTGGCCATCATTGATGACCAAATTTCTGGCTGTCGTTTGGCCGTCAACATCGGTCAAGATATGTCCATCGTCAATGGCCAGATCTAGCTGTCGATGGTTAGATCTTTGGTCATAGATCTAACCAGAAATGACTAGATCGACTCACGATCGGCCAGATCCAACCGGTTGTGCGTCATTCCGATGACTTTCAGCCACCATTCGACAATGGTGATAGGTTTTTGATAATTAGTTGGGTGAGTATGAGTGTTTTTGTTAATTTATAAATTTTTATTAAGAAATATAATTATGGAATGATTTGAATTAAATAAAATATAATTTGATTTTGAATTGAATAATGAGGATTAAACACACACACACACACACACACACACACACACATATATATATATATATATATATATATATATTTCACTTGATTTGATTGGATTGGGTAATATGGTATAATAGATATCGACAATGGGTAAAACAAAATGGAATCCACCAACTGTGGGATTTCAGTTTTTGTGGCCAATCCGAGCTTCACATGTTCTTCCATTGTCCCTGTCCTTTCTTTTTTATCTGCATTATGTCTAACATTTCCTCAGGCTCCTCTCCTTCACATAACTCAATCTTTATCAATTTCCTTTTTTTTTTTTTTTCTTATCGTTAAAAATATCAAACATTCTTTACAAAATTATAAAAAAAGTTTTATTACAAGTATTTTTAATACTTTTTAAATAAAATGGATAAATTTAATACTAAATTATCTCATAAGAGAGAAATAAAATTAACCCTTACACGTAAAATTACCATATCATTTGATATAAGTTTGTAGAATTGAATAAAATGACACAGTAAAAGTGAATTGTATTATTGAATTACTGGAAAGATGGCTGTTGGTGCATCAAATCGTGGCAGACATAGGGACCATTCGCTAAAGAAAAAATAGGGGAAAATTAATAGCTTCTAGCTAGGGTGTTTTCATGCATTAAATTTCTGTCGTCTTTTAGTTTGATAAGTCAATTCTCTACAGACATGGTGGGTCTGGGTCAATATTTCCACTTACAAATAGCAGAGCAACTGTGGTCGAGAGGAATTGAAATATAATGCTTTCTGAGTGAACGACATTTTGCACCCAAAGTTTACCGGAATTACTTTGTCACTCATAAACTTTGAAAAATATATTTTCTCACCCATCAGACGTTAGTTTCATTGGTAAAAAGACATTCTCGTTGGTTCGCACAATATATGTTAATAAATGTATTTGTTTTCACCACTTATCACTTATGTCTAAACAATTTCAGTGTTTAGGTTATTTGTTTTTTCTGAATTAAAAAAAAAAGTTAACAATTGTTACTTAAATTTTAATATGAAAATAATGATAATAAAGATCCAAATTAAATTACTAATTCACCCTTATATTACTATTAAATACACATAACTTTTACATTATATTCTGAAATAAATTACCTTCATTAATAAATAATTAAAAACATTTCATAATTGGTGAATATTTAGAATTGTCGGTTACTCTCTATCAACAATAAAAGCGAATTCTGTTATTGAATCCAACAACAAAATTGATATCGAAATGATGCTCCGAAGAGGATTTACACATCCTAGTAATTTTTATCGGCTAAAAACTCATGTTTTATTTGCAAAAAGAGGAGAGAGAAATGTTGACTGTTACTTTCTCCTCTTAATAAGACAAAAATATATTCGACGACTAGCCAGTGACATCTTGCTTACCAAAATTGTAAATTTTCTGAATACAAATTTTTATTCAATTTATTTATTAACATAAACCAAATTAGGGGTAAAATATATATTTAATTAAGTTTGAGTGGAAAAATGTTATTCAACGTTGTTAAAAATTATAAAGTAAAGAGTAAAGAGTATTATAATTCTTTTTGTAGCTTTACCCCATCAGGTAACAGATGCCATGGACAGAGATTGACAGTAGGTGGAAAATTGTTTTCTTAAGAAGGTTTTGCGGGTGGGAAAATGTAAATGCAGCAAACCCTGGGGGAAAATTGTTATTCACTCAACGCTTTCTTAATTTACTCTTTACTCTCGAGTCACAGTATTCTACAAGTCACACATTCTCATTTATCTCTTTCAGCAGCTCTGTTTTGTGCTATCTAAAGTTTACAAGTTGAGTTTCAAAATCATTCATCTCTATCTGCAACTCAGTTTTGTGTAATCTAAAGTTACAAGGCAAGTTTCAACTCAGTATAACATTGATCCATCAACCCATTCGGTACCATCTTTTAACGTAAACAAAAATTTGCTTTTGCTACTGCTTAATTATCTTCTGCTTTTTGTTGGTTGAGATTTTTAGTTTATGTTTTGATCTGCTGGTTTATGTTATTATCTACTTGCAGCACTACTTTACTATTATTTGATTCTCTGAAGATAATATTTGATACTAATATCTGTGAGCCAAGGGATAGTCAACTGAAAGTCTATGTTGGTGTTGAGGTAATGAATCACTTTTCAGATCTTGTAATATACTCTTTTGTGTTAAGCGATTTTGAAAATATATGAAGATTGTTGTCGTTATTTTACTTACAGCAGGACTCTACCAGCATCTGATTCTCTGGAGAAAGTGTTTGCTTTTGCTTCATATATTTAAGGATATATTAGCTTACAGAAAAGGTCATTCCTAGCTCTTTGGATCTTCATTTGTGATCTACTGAATTACTTTTTGGTTTTAAATTAATGATCTTTAGATCTGGAAAGTTTTATGTATATCTATATGTTCATTAATCTTTATTTATGCTCATAGGTGATTCAGATTTTGCAAATTTATGAAGATCTAAAGCTACCAGGTCAGGTGAATTTCTAGGTTAAAATTTTCCCGTTTCAATATGATTGTTTAAATTTGAATATGAAAATAATGATAAATAAAGATCCAAATAGAATTACTAATTCACCCTTATATTACTATTAAATACACAAATAAATTACCTTCATTAATAATTAATTAAAAAAATTTAATGATTGGTGAATCTTTTGGTGACCCACTGCCGGCAACCGGTTTTCGTTGTCGAAGAGAATCTGACAACAAAATTGATACCAAAATGATGCTCTGGAGACGATCTACACATCCAAGCAATTTTCATCGACCAAAAATTCATATTTTAATTGCAAAAGGAGGAGAGAGATGTTGACCGCTATTTTCTCCTCTTAATATGGCAAAAATATATTGGAGTTCACAATTATAATAAGATATATGTTTAGATCGTAATGAGAGCTTCGTTTTGGCATCGGTGGTGTCGTTGGACATGCTCTGTTGAAGGAGGCTGTCACCCACAACTGGGTGGCAACACCTTGATTACCAAAATTGTAAATTTTCTGAATACAATTTTTTATTCAAATTATTTATTAATAAAAACTAAATTAGGGGTGAAAAATACATTTAATAAAGTTTGGGTTGGAAAAATTGTATTCAACCCATTAAAATTTAAAATTAAAAAATTATAAAGTCAAATAAGAAAAGGTATTATATTCTAATATAAGATTTTGAAATCTCTTTTATGACTACTTAAAAACAACGAAAATCTAGTATTACTGGCGTGCATTAATTGTAGTTTTGCATTACATAAAATTGATCTAATAAAGAATTAATGCCATACATTCAAAATTAATTTGTAGACCTCTGTTATAATGGATCAAGGGTTTTCTTAAATAATCAATTATGAATTCATCACTGACGTTGAATATTTTATTACAAAATTGAGAATCAAGTTTTTTTGTTATCCGTAAAAATTGGGTTTATTGATGTGATATTGAAAGTGAAGAATTTTTCTTCATTCAATTCAATAGAATGTGAAGGTTTAATGAGAATTTTGGAAGAAGTTACTTCGGTTTTCTTTAAGCTAGATAAATGATTGAGCAATTTCTTGGGGTGCTTTTACAGTTTGTGTTTTTGTTTTTTAATTATCAAGAGCTTTCATGGTGTTCTTGTTCAATTCAAATGGCTATTGCGTGTGTGGGTTACAGTGATTGAAGAGAGAGACAGAAGGTTTCTCTTTGTTTACCAAAATAGCATTCAATTTATAAGAGTGGTGAAATAATTGAGAGTAAGTGATGTGTAAACTTTTTTCACTCAAATTTATATGAACCATTAGATTAGAGTTAGATGAAGGGTGGTTCATTTGTGTCTTATTTTAAGTCAATAATTTGTATATAGACTGACCCTAAATTAATATGATAATTTTTAATGAGTGAGAAAAAATATTTAACAAAAGAAAAGGTGAAAAACTTTAATTCGGACTTTAATACAGAAGTCTTTGCAGACTTGGTGGGTCATTCCACTTAGAACGACAGGACCAAACTTCAACGAGTATTTCTCAAGTTGACTGCACTAAATTTTTTTTTTTTTTTTTTTTTTTTTACTTTTTATCCTTAAGTTGGATTGATTATGAATATAATGTGATAGAGATTCATTTGCAGGAAAAACATCGATCGCTCCACTGATTTGTTATGATCATTTATGATCTTTAAACTTTGATATAATAATTTACTTTAAATGTGTCCATGACTATCTTCTGCTTTTAGTTGTTTCATTTGTTGTTATTTACTTGCAAGACTGATTGAGGACATATTTGATTACAGAAGAAGGTGAAGAGATTTTACACTAAAGATCTGAAGTTACAAAGTCAGGTGAATTTCGTAGATACAGTTTTCATGTTTCAATATAATTACTTAATAATCTTTGAACATCATCTTGAAAACACTTACTTTTGCTGATGTTTATCTTTCTGATTTTACCTTTATCAACCTCATGTTTTATCGATTTTCGATTTACTTCAATAGTTTCAGTAATTTCGTTTATTAGGCAATCTAATAAAATTGAAGTGAGGGAAAAGTAAATCAGTTGGGTGTTGTTAGTTTTGATTGTGTGTGACGTATATTTCACTTGATACTGTATATGTGTATGGGAGGTGAAGTGGAATTCTCATCCGCAGCTTTCATATTGGATGTATTCTGCTGACACATAAGGTATGAAAATTAACTTTTATGCTTTTCCATTATCTTTAGTTATGTTGTTTTAATGGAGCTTAGCAGCTGTATATCACTCACTGATCAGAAATCTTATCCCAATACGTGTAGCATCAATATCTACTGCTGAGGTGAGTTTTAAAAATATATAGCATATTCATCCTATTTTCAGGATATAAATACATTTTTTATCCTAATTGTACTATTAACATATAAATACACAATTTATTATTCTTTCATTATTACCAAGAATTGTATGTTGAATACTTCATTAAATAACTCTACCATAAATGTGTATGTTCACTCAACTTCATGCTAATAGCAGTGAACAAAAGTTTCAAGTCTCAAAGTGAGGTGCCTTTTTCTAGGTTGCAACCTTCCATTCAGGTATGATTTTCTTAAGATTTATGAACTTTTTTATTTACTTCTATTACTATTTGTCTTCTGGTTTGTGCTAAATTAGATATGTTAATTCTTCCACTTTCAAATATTTTAATTTACAATTCTAAGAAAGAGGCAAATTAAAAGATTAAGGATGAGATAAGATAGATAAACACTTGCTTGTGCTAACACTCCAATAGCCGATTGAGATTCTTTATTCATAATTTTGATTAGCTAGTTTCTTGTCTTATCATTTGTAGCTTGCTTGAGAATTCTGTGGCGATATCTATCTAGTGAAATTCTAAGAAGTTATTGAAGCCATCTCTTTACTTGAGAAAGTAAGCAACATTTTTTCTTTTCTTTTCTATTTCATTCACTTTAGCCTTTATTAAGTCAAAATCTTGGTTCCGCCACTAAATATTGCACATTCAATTAAGGATTATTATATAATTAAGTGTTACTGTATTGATTTGGTATTAAAATTATTAGGATTTTTGGATTAAAAATCAAAATTTTAAAATTTTTAATGACGAGTATGCGTAGAATATAAGTATCAAGTGCACATTTTTTTTTTTTTTAATTTTTTTGTAAACAACTTTATCATTAATTTTTTTGGGGGATCTCTGTCAATATAAAATTTAACTCTTCTTTTATTGTTCAGATCATTTAGGTAGTTCATTATTTTTCAAGTCAAACTCTTGCTTCTTCAAGATAATACTTTTGACGTCAAATTGTCTCCTTAAGGTAATGTTTCACACATTGAAGTCTCTTATGATATTTTAATGCCATAATATAATATCTTTTCAAATATTATTCTTAACATTGATACAAATTTCTTAATGTTATATTTTTTTTTTTTTTTTGAGTCCGAAGGTGTATGTTAGTTGACTACCTAAAATGTTAATTTTTAACTTTATATCTTAATTGATGAATTAATTGGAAGGAATTGTTAAAATTTGTGTGAAAATGTTTAGGACTTACTTTATATAACCTTTTGTGGGATCGATAAATATTAAAATTTTGCATTAGTTATCAGAAACTATCATACTTCTGTCATAGGGGTTTATGTACTTTTACAAAGGGATGGGGACGGGGACGGGGACGGGGTCCTCGAATTTTTGGGGAAAAAAAAAAGTATTTTGCTTTTTTATATAGGGGATCTGTTTTCATCCCACTTCCCAAAATCAATTCAGGGATGAGTTTTCATCCCCATACCCTTCTCGTCTCCAAAAGTTTAGCTTAAATGCCCTTCCCAAACTGGGTGCCTGGGTGGGGACCCGTCCGGAAAATTGTCATCCCTTTCATGGAGATATTTTTAATAATTGTAGGGGGCCATATAATTCTTTCTAATATTTTTCCCCCCAAAGTTTACCATAATTATTTTTTCACTCATAAATTTTGAAAACTATATTGTATTTTCTTTTAATTTGATAAGTCAATTCTCTACAGACATGGTGGGTCTTTAATTCCACTTACTTATGAGCAAACGTGTTTGAGTGGAATTGGAATATAGTACTTTCTGAGTTAGTGACATTTTTCCACCCAAAGTTTACCGTAATTCTTTTTCACTCATAAATTTTGAAAACTATATTGTCTCACCCATCAGACTTTCAAACGTTAGTCTCACCCAAAATTGTTATTTAAATTTTAATGTCAAAATAATGATAATAAAGATCCAAATTAAATTACTAATTCACCCTTATATTACTATCAAATACACATAGCTTTTACATTATATTCTGAAACAAATTACCTTCATTAATAATTAATTAAAAGAGTTTTCATAATTAGGTTTAAGGGCTGAACATAAAAAAAAAAATCCAATTTTTGGAAATCTTTCAAGTACGATCTCTCAAATCAATTTATTTTCTAATTTTATTCTAGTCATAAAAACAATTGGGTTATTTTTAATTTTATTCTTAAAAAGAAATCAGATAAATAATTTTCTCTATGCTACATTTTTTTAACCAACATCCCCGTTGAGAAAAGTTTTCTAAAATATATGAAAATTCTCAAAATGCGGCCCAATAAAAAACAAACTAATTAAAACTGAACATAGTTTTCCACCTTTAATTTACAAAGACCACCTTCCAGTCTTTGTTCTTTTAGGTTCACACATGAGATTAAATTAAAAGGCAAGGATATTTTAACTTAAATTTTAATGCTAATTGAGAGTCGTACATTAATTACAATCAAACAGTGTTGCATGTGTTGATAGAAAATAATTAATATTTAAGTTGAACTTCTGAACCCATAAACTATCTCTATCTATGTTATCGCTTTAAATATTTTAATTATAATTGAGGAATGATCAGTTACAAATATAAAAAGAAAATATTTATGACAGTTGAAGACATCTTTCTTAATAACTTAAATTAACCTAATAGCCTTGAAACTGACAACTATTAGAGGGTGTTTGTCTGAACTTATGAAAATTAGCTTATAAGTAACAAGTGTTTATAAGCTAATTTTAACTATAAGCATTTGAAATTTTAAGCAATTACATGTTTGGTTAAAATACTTATAAGTGACTGATAAGTAGTTGACGTGTTTGGTAAACTGTGGCTTATAAGTATATTTTATTATAAAATGACTAAAAAGGGTACTACATTAAACAAGGATATATTAAGAAATTTTAAAATTAAACAAGGATAATGTGGTAATATACTTGGTCAAACTAGCTTATAAGCACTCTGCTTATAAGCCAAAAAAAAAAAGTACCTCTCCCCCAACTTATTTTTTTGGCTTATAAGCTCAACTTATAAGCTCAAAACAATTATAAATAAACAGGTCAGCTTAATTTAAGAGCTTATAAGGTAGTTTGACCAGCTTATGAGCTTAGACTAACACCCCCTTAGTCTAGTATCTTGTTATAACACTTAACAATATATTGCTTCCCATGAAGAATCTTATTCACATTCGCGTCTGTTTTTCCTTCTACAACTTATTCTGACCTTGTCTCCTTTACTTCTTGCAGCTAAGGCTAGGACAAGCTGGGAGCTTGTGCTTCATTGGTTTTCATTCAAAGTCTGTCATTTCACAATTACCTAAAGAGAAAGGTGTTGCTATTTCTCATTCACCCATTTTCAATAGTTTTTCTTTGTTTGATTCCATACTAATAATCAATTTCTGATATCATACAGGATGGAAATAGTAGCACCTTGTATGGAACATATTGTATCGGCGGTTGAAGAAAACTTGTTAGAGTTAACCAAACGTCATGTTCGTTATTTGTTTTGTTTCAAGAGCATTGTCAAAGATTTTAAAGATGAATTTCAAAATTTGGAATCAACACGTGACGGTGTGCAACAAGATGTTGACAGTGCGACAAACAATACTAAGGTGATCAAGAAAGATGTGCACAAGTGGTTAAAAAAAGTGGACGAAGTTGTTAAAGATGTTCAAAAGTTAGAAGAAGAAATTGAAGAAAATAAAGCAAGTCTTGTTGGGCGGTGTCCTAATTGGGTTTTGCGATATCGGTTGAGTAGGAAAGCAGAACATAAAAGACATAATATGTTAAAGCTACAGGGAATTGGCAAATTCGAGAAAGTCTCCCATCCTGCTACATTACCAGGGATTGAATTTTCGGTCCCTAAGGATTTTCAACTTTTCAAGTCTGCGGAACCTGCTTTTCATAAGATTATTAAGGAACTAGAAAGTGATGAAACCCATCTGGTTGGATTGTATGGGATGGGCGGAGTGGGTAAGACAACCTTGGCAAAAGCAGTGGGTAAGAAAGTCAAAGAAGAGAAAATTTTTGATGAGGTTGTGATAATTATTGTATCCCAAGCTCCAAACTTCAAAAAAATTCAAGGTGACCTTGCAGAGTCATTAGATATGAAATTGGAGGAGGAAGGCGAAGAAAGAAGAGCAAAGCATTTGCATTTGAGATTTGTGGAGACTAAAAAGAAGATCCTCATTATCTTAGATGATGTTTGGAAAAAATTTGACTTGAAATCTAAAATAGGATTTCCTTTTGGCGATGATCTGAAAGGTTGCAAAATCCTTCTAACAACTCGTAGCCAAAACGTATGTATTCGTATGAGTTGTCAGCCGCGAGTTCTTTTGAATGAACTGAATGAAGATGAAGGATTGGCTTTACTTAAAAAGCATGCAGGTATAACTGATGATGAATCCCATCCATTGAACGATCTAGCGGTTAAAGTTGCTGAAGAATGCAAGGGATTGCCATTAGCAATTGTAACTATTGGGAGTGCTTTAAAAGAAAAAGGCATTGATGAATGGACACTGGTGTTTGAGAAATTTAAAAAGTCAAAACTTGTAGATATACATAAAGATATTGATGTTGATGATGATGTATATGCTATTCTTAAGGTCAGCTATGATTATTTAGAGAGTAAAGAAACCAAGTTATGTTTTTTGCTGTGTTCGTTGTTCCCTGAAGATTATGAAATTCCTTTGGAGGAATTGGTTAGATATGGAATGGGGCTAGGTTTATTTCCAGATGTTGACTCAATTGAACAAGCGAGGAGACAACTGCGAGTAATGGTTAATAAGCTCATAGCTTCTTGTTTGTTGATAGATGCTGGTGTAAAAGGATTTGTGAAAATGCATGATGTGATTCGTGATGTTGCCTTGGGAATAGCATCCAAAGGAGATATTGTATTTCTTGTTAAAGCTGGCTTGGGATTGACCGAGTGGCCAAAGGAGGGAAGGCACCTTGGACAACATACTGCAATCTCCTTAATGGACAACGAGATACACATGCTTCCTGATCACTTGGTGTGTCCAAAGCTCGAAACTTTGTTATTGTCTCGTCAATATTGTTATGAACGTCGCGGCAACATTGAAGTTTCAAACCATTTTTTTGAAGAGATGAAAGCATTAAAAAATGTAAGTCTAAGTTATGTGGTTCTGTCATTAAAATCACTGAAGTTCTTGACAGATCTCAAAACTCTAGAGCTGATTGATTGCAATTTGAGAGACATTTCTTCTCTCGAACATCTTGCCAGACTTGAAATTCTTAGTTTAAGATATTCATGGTTTGATGAATTTCCAAAAGAACTTGGGGCCCTCACTGAATTAAGATTGCTGGACTTACGTGACTGTAGTGGGTTAAAAAGAATTCCTTCCAATGTGATATCGAGATTTTCTCAGCTAGAAGAATTATATGCGGATGACTACTTTGACGAAAGGGAAGATGAAGAGACGAGTACAGAAGGAAGCAATGCTAGTCTCTCTGAGTTGAATTCTCTATCCAATTTGGTTGTACTATTTCTGAAAATAAAGGCTAAATGCCTATCGGAAGACTTGGGTTTTATTTGCAACAAATTGCAAAGGTATGATATTTGTGTGAACAGTACTGATTCAGAGTTTTATCATGTATCAAAATCAAGAAGAAGAGCTTTAACAGTGACAAAGATTGAAGCCGCCTCACTGATTGCGTTAAAATATTTGTATCATACCCTAGAATATCTTGCAATCCAATCTTGCAACAAGCTGGAAGAAATATTTCAACTTGATGGGCTCTGTCATAACAGGGAAGAAAATGTTGCAATGCTTTCAAGTTTAGCAGAGTTAGACTTGAAAGAGTTACCGCAACTGAGATGTATATGGAAAGGGCCAACCCATATTGTAAACTTAAAAAGTCTTACAAAGGTTGAAGTGAGAGAGTGCAAAAGTTTGATTTATCTCTTCACTTTGTCAGTTGCTCAGAGTTTGGTCCAACTGAAATCACTCGAAGTAAGTGATTGTGAGAGTTTGAAACATTTGATAGTGACAAAAGAAGGTGATAATGACAAGGAGGAGGAAATATTACCAGAATCTCATCATGCAGTTGTTGTGCTCCCAAATTTGGAGAAGTTAAGCATTCTAAAATTACCGCAACTGAGGTGTATATGGAGTGGGCCCTCTTATCATGTAAAGCTCCCAAGTCTCACAGATGTTGGAGTGAGAGAATGCAAAACTTTGATTTATCTCTTCACTTTGTCAGTTGCTCAAAGTTTGGTCCAACTGAAATCACTCAAAGTAAGTGATTGTGAGAGTTTAGAGCATCTGGTTATAACAGAAGAGGGTGATAATGACGAAATATCATCAGAACACGATCTTCAAATCCACAGTCCTTTCTTGTCAAAACTAGAATCTCTCAAGATAAATTCTTGTGAGAGATTGGAACATATTTTTCCTGTCTCTTTTGCAAGAGTACTTGTACAGCTTGAAGAGTTTGCAGTAGAAAATGCCCCTCAGTTAAAGCAAGTCTTTTATTTGGATAATGGAAGTGAAGAAAATGTAGTTGCCGGAGATGGAAAGGAAACTGCAGTCATCAAGCNGAAATATCATCAGAACACGATCTTCAAATCCACAGTCCTTTCTTGTCAAAACTAGAATCTCTCAAGATATATTCATGCGAGAGATTGGAACATATTTTTCCTATCTCTTTTGCACGAGTTCTTGTACAGCTTAAAGAGTTTACAGTAGGAAAGGCCCCTCAGTTAAAGCAAGTCTTTTATTTGGATAATGGAAGTCAAGCAAATGTGGTTGCCGGAGATGGAAAGGAAACTGCAGTCATCAAGCTCCCTAAGTTGAAAGTACTAAGACTGGATGGACTTGCAAGCATGATTAGTTTCTGCCCAGAAAATTTTCATTCAAGTTGGCCAGCTTTGGAAGATTTCACAATAGACGAGTGCTCGAATTTGAGTATGTCTTTCGTTACCGAAGTTGTATCTAAAGTACGAGATCTACAGGAGGTATATATCTTTTTTTAATTGTTTATCAAGATTTTCTTGAATCTGTTGCCTTCGTTTTTTGAAGATTTTGGTCTGAGAATGAACATTTTGGAATTTGATTAAAATTCAAACAAATAAAAATTCGTAACTTTTAATGATTTATGTTAATTTTTTTTATCAGAAATATTAATATAGACATTTTTTATAATTAAATAAAATAAAAAATATTAATAAACTTTTTAATGATTTGAATGAACATTGATTTATATTAAATATTAATATAGAAATATTGGGTGTCATCCGATTGTATATTACCTATTAAGAGCATTTGAGTCAATAATATATTTTTACTTTATTTAATTTTATTTTGTGAATCAATGAATTAAAACTAATGGATGACTTTATTATTATTATTTCTACTTTTAATGTAGGATGTTATAAAATTTTGATAAGATGAATGTGATTTGCTTTCTCCAGAATTTGCGAATTCTAAGGATTGGCAGTTGGAATCAGTTGTACGACACACTTCTTTCTGGACTGAAAGATGGCTTCTTCAAAAATTTGGAAGAATTAAGTATCAACAGATGTGGAGTAAAAGTGTTATTTCCGTTGGAAGACGGAGAGCAACATACATTCTCACTCCCTTATTTGAAGACACTGCAGTTGGAATATTTGCCACAACTAGAAGGTTTATGTAGTAAGAGTCCTACACTTGTTTCAAGCCTAGAGAATCTTACAACTTTATATCTATACCACTGCGATAGGCTGAGAAATATCTTTTCAGCTTCTCTTGCTCAAAATCTGTCGCAGTTGCAAGTTCTAAGAATCTCTGATTGTGGGGAATTGGAGGAAATCATTGTTGAAGAAGATGAAGAGAATCAAATTCTATTCTTCCAAAATCTCTTACAAATTATTGTTAGAGGATGCCCTAAAATAAGACGTTTGTTTGCTATCACGGTAGCTCCACGTCTTCAAAAACTGAAAGAGATATTTGTATATGATAACTCTGAATTAGAAGAAGTATTTGGAGATAAAGATGTTGCTGACGTCATGGATCACAAAGAAATCACGCTGCCTCAACTTAATAGTATGGTTCTCTACCGATTATCAAGTCTCAGCAAGTTCTGCCCAGTGGGTTATCACTTCATATTTCCATCTTTGAGAAGTGTATTGATAATTAAAGGATGTCCCAAGATGAGTACAAGATTTTCCATGGGTGAAGACAGATGTGTGCATGCCAAAGCAAAGGTACTTACTCCTTTTCAAATCCTTCACTCGATAAAATGTTGGCTTATTATTATTATTATTATTATTATCATTTTTCACTTGTACTTGTTGTTTTCTATGATGTCACAAATAGCTTATTATTCCATTCGCATTTCATATGCTTCAATTAATTGGTTCCGCAGGCATTTCAAATTGCAGAGTTCATCGATATCATTTGCTGGAATTTTGACGACATACAAAGAGAGTTACCACTATACATAGAAAATGATGACCAAAGTATCAAGCCGAAGGAGGAAGAAATTAACACTGAAACTTGAAACATTCTCACGATTGCTAACCAGGTAATATGGTTGTATTTTAGTTTTCTCCATTGTTGTTGTGTTCTTGCTGGTTTTAATTTAATGATGAGCAGAGTATCCACCAACTGCTTGTGGAAATTCCCCAACGTAACTCACATATCTTAAAAGTTCAAAACATAGACTATGGCTATTGCTTCTGTTTATTCAAATTTCTTTTGATTTTGATTAATGTCAGTTTAAGTTTCTGTTTTAAGCAACTTTATAAGTGCTTAGTTTTACTTGCTATGTAGCAACTATATAAAGTCACAGTATTCTTCTCNTTTAATTAAAATTCAAACAAATAAAAATTCATAACTTTTAATGATTTATATTTAGTTTCTTTATCAGAAATATTAATGCAGACATTGTTTTTTAATTAAATAAAAAATATTAATAAAGTTTTTAATGATTTTAATAAACATTGATTTATATTAAATATTAATATAGAAATATTGGGTGTCATCCGATTGTATATTACCTACTAAGAGCATTTGAGTAGGTGGGCCACAAATAATTTATTATTTATAAAAAACTGTTAATTTAATAATTTAATAATATTCAATAATATATTTTACTTTATTTAATTTTATTTTGTGAATCAATGAATTAAAACTAATGGATGACGATATTATTATTATTATTATTACTACTTTTAATGTAGGATGTTATAAAATTTTGATAAGATGAATGTGATTTGTTTTCTCCAGAATTTGCGAATTCTAAGGATTGGCAATTGGAATCAGTTGTACGACACACTTCTCTGTGGGCTGAAAGATTTGGAAAGATTAAGTATTAACAATTGTGGAGTAAAAGTGTTATTTCCGTTGGAAGACGGAGAGCAACATTTATTCTCGCTCCCTAATTTGAAAACATTGGAGTTGACATATTTGCCAGAACTAGAAGGTTTATGTAGTAAGAGTCCTACGCTTGTTTTAAGCCTGGAGAATCTTACAACTTTATATCTATGGCGCTGCGATACGCTGAGAAATATCTTCTCGCCTTCTCTTGCTCAAAATCTGTCGCAGTTGCAATATCTATATATCTCTTATTGTGGGGAATTGGAGGAAATCATTGTTGAAGAAGATGAAGAGAATCAAATTCTATTCTTCCAAAATCTCTTACAAATTTATGTTGTAAGATGCCCTAAAATAAGACGTTTGTTTGCTATCACGGTAGCTCCACGTCTTCAAAAACTGGAAAGGATACATGTATATGATAACTCTGAATTAGAAGAAGTATTTGGAGATAAAGATGTTGCTGACGTCATGGATCACAAAGAAATCGTGCTGCCTCAACTTAATCGGTTGGGACTCTGCCAATTACCAAGTCTCACCAAGTTCTGCCCAGTGGGTTATCACTTTCTATTTCCATCTGTGAGGGAGCAATTGGTAATTGAAGGATGTCCCAAGATGAGTACAAGATTTTCCGCGGATGAAGACAGATGTGTGCATGCCAAAGCAAAGGTACTTACTCCTTTTCAAATCCTTCACTCAATAAAATGTTGGCTTATTATTATTATTATTATTAAAGATTTTGTGTCAAAAATTTGTTTAATTCTTCTTAGAAACGGAGTTGGGTCACAAATGTAATTTCTTAATTTATTTAATTTTTTTCATTTTTCACTTTTACTTGTTGTTTTCTATGATGTCACAAAAAGCTTATTTATTATTACATTCTCATTTCATATAATTCAATTAATTGGTTCCGCAGGCATTGAAAATGGGCAACCAAGATCAAATTTCAGAGTTCCCTTCAGAGCCTTCCATGGAGATCTATTGCGTCCGTTTTCTCGATATAAAAGAAATGTTACCGCTATACATAGAAAATGAAGAGCAAAGTATCCACTGACCGCTTGTGGAAATTCCCCAACGTAACCCACATATCTTAGAAGTTGAAAACATAGAGTATGGCTATTGCTCTGGAGTGCTCCTTAATTTCAGTTTTTATGCATGAAGCTTTGTTTGTTCTCGATAATTATACTACTCTTTTATTTGTTTGAATACTCTGCTTCTTCATTTTGATTTTATATCTATGTTTCTTCTTCAAATCGCAGTCCGCCAAGTAGAATCACCGACTTTGTAAAAAGCACCAAGAGAGACTCCGAAAATGATGAGCAAAGTATCAACCTGGAGGAGGAAGAAATTAACACTGAAACTTGAAACATGTTCATGATTGCTAACCAGGTAATATGCCTATATTTTAGTTTTCTTCATTTTTGTTGTATTATCCACCAACTGCTTGTGGAAATTCCCCAACGTAACTCACATATCTTAAAAGTTCAAAACATATACTATGGCTATTGCTTCTGTTTATTCAAATTTCTTTTGATTTTGATTAATGTCAGTTTAAGTTTCTGTTTTAAGCAACTTTATAAGTGCTTAGTTTTACTTGCTATGTAGCAACTATATAAAGTCACAGTATTCTTCTCCGTTTCAGTTAGTGAAAATGCAAAATTCTCTCAACTCTCTTTTCTTTCTTCTTCTCTGTTTTCCATTTGTTCTTCTTGGAAGAAGTTTGTTCAAATAGAAAGCACAATATTATGGGAAAATCCAGTTCTATTCAATTTGATGTGTCTTTTGCTGCTGCATCTGCACAATGCTACGGAGTCTTCGTCAATTTCACTTTTTATGCATGAAGCTTCCTCAATTTCATTGTGATTTTATATTTATATTTATGAATCAGCTTCATGGTTTATTATGTATGCAGTATTCAATTACAACAATCAATTTCACAATGTAAATGAAGTGAAGCATCCAGATTTTCTGTCTTGTAATGCAACATCTCCCTTGGCTGCCTAAATTACCGGCTTTGACTCTACTGTCCTAAACAATCTAGGCCACCACTATTTTTTTGTGTGGCATTCCTGATCATCGAGAAGCGGGACAGAAGGTTGACATCATGGTGACTCCCGTTTCTCTACGACCAAGTGCCAGTTCTAGTTATCCTCCGTCGCCTTCAGCATCCTCCCCATTGCCGCACTTAGTCCTGCTTTCAACACCGCTTCATCTCTCCAATGTTTTAAGCTTTTGTAGACTTTGGTTTGCCTTGGCATTTGTTGCAGCACATTTTCACATTTTCCCGAAACTGAAGTTTTTGTGTCTTTTGGGATTATTCTCTTCATAACTTGCGTTATTTTGTTCTTTTTTTTGTTGACATTGTTGGTCTTGGATTTATGAAGTTTATGATGTTTGTATGCCTCTAGTTTGCACTAGAGAAGACTTTGTATTCCTATTTATGTTGGTGATAGTAAAAGACTTTAATCGGACTAAGGTCCCGTGGTTTTTACTCCTCACATTGGGGAGGTTTTCCACCTAAAAATTAGGGTGTCATTGATCTTTAATTTTTTGTATATATATTTATAACTTTGATTATATTCACTCAAGAAAGAAAAGGGATTTTTGGAAACTAGGCTCCCTAAGAATAACAGATCTATTTGAAGGGATGACGAGTGTTGTGGTTAAGACTTAAGAGTAAGTTTGATTAAACCAGGCAGCAACTGTAAGGAGTTTAGCAATTAATGTCAATTTAAGTATTTTCTCAACTCTCTTTTCTTTCTTCTTCTCGAATTCTTCATTTGTTCTTCTTTGAAGAAGTTTGTTAAAAAAGAAAGCGCAATATTATGGGAAAATCCAATCCTATTCAATTTGTTGTGTCTGCAGAATGCTATGGAGTGCTCTCCTTAATTTCAGTTTTTATGCATGAAGCTTTGTTTGTTCATTTATTTGTTTGAATACTCTGCTTCTTCATTTTGAGTTTATATTTATGTTTCTTCAAATCTATGAGTATATACAGGAGAAATAACGGTACAGTAACATTGTTCAATGGACAAGTAGCATAAATATGAATTATCTATCAATGCAGAACCAATATATTATTACAATTTCATCAAATGACAGAAAGATCATGTTATTATCTCAAAACGTACAAAGGCGGTAATCCAATACAGAACTGAATTGATAAAACCAACAAATAATTAAGAGGAATTATGAGAGAGTCCTCATCCATAGAGGAAGCATTTGCATTTGTATACAAGCAATTTTACACTGAAAGATTGGATTTTTCAAGTTGTTATACGATAATTTTGACACTAAAAAATGTCATATCTTTACTTGATATCTCCCTTAAAATCCCAAGCACACAAAAACCCTCAAGGTGTGAAATGGAGTAATATAGACATGGGCCTCAACTGATTTTTGAACTCCAAACTCAAACTGAGCTGCTCTCATTTCTTCACTTCATCAGATTCTGAAACACAACCACAATCGTTAATATTTTTCAGGTCGACAAGGTGAAAAGGAGGCCCATTCACCAAACCTATGGGCCCATTGACTTTCTGGTTGGTGTATAATTTTAGTAGAATTACTCTTATCTTTCTTGAAAGACTGAAGTTTTTTCCCTAATTAATTCGATCAAATGAAAGGTAAAAATGAAAATGTTTAAGCTAATAACAATTTTACTTCTTGATGAGGCTTTGAGCAGCAGAATTAAGGGAGCGAGCCAAGCTAAAATATTTAATGTTTCCTGCAAAACATCTCCAAATTTGAAAAAAAAAATACATCCACAATATATTTCTCTATACCACATTCTAACGAAACTTTGATGATAAAATTACAGACATTTGATTGCTAGTAAACTGAAATTGAGATTTAAAAAATCCATTAATTCTGTCTTTGTTAATAATTGATTCTATATTATAATATCCCTTTTACTAAGAATCTACCTACCCAGTAAAGTAATAAACTGCAAACAACACACGATCATGAAACTCTCATGTGTAACAAATCTAAGCGNATGATATTTTGCTGGAAACTTTTTGCATGGCTGGTTTGAAGGTTTGGCGCCAGTTTTTGAATTAAAGGGGCTGTCTGTCAAGTGATATTTATATACTGGTTAGGTGAAGACAGCCGGTGATTAAGGCAACAAAATCCCAATGCTATTTGTGTTTGTTAAGGGTAGTTCAAATTGTATCATTTTAAAGATTATTTATATGGTGTGAAGTGGTTGTAACAGTATTGTATGATGTCTATATATGTCTGTGTTTTGAATGAAAATATGAGGACTTTTTTGCAGTCAGTTTTTTCTCTTCCGTTTTAGCTTTTTCTCTCTTGCACAAATAACCTTTCTTCAAAAACTTTAGAACCTTGCAAAGCCAACAGCTCCACTGAATCATCCTAAGAATAATGGATCTACTTGAAGGGATGAAAATGTGTTGAGCTTAAAAGTAAGCTTGATCAAGCTGAGCAGCAGCTGTAAGGAGTGCTGTGTCTGCACAATGCTATTTTAAAAAATCCCAAGCACACAAAAAGCCTCAATGTGTGAAATGATTTTGATTTTTCTGTTGAAATGTTTCATTAATTCTGGAAATACAATGTCATGTTGTTTATTTACTCAACAACAGTCCAGGACGCTGGCAATCCGTGTCAAATGCCAACTAAACTTGAAGAAATAAGAAACAAAAACACTATTGCTGTTAAATGTTAGATTACCAAATCTTGTATAGTATAGCATAATCTAACATTATATATTAGAAACATATTTTTTGTTGTTTTATTAAGATTATAATTGATAAGTCACTGGATTTTAAAGCTAGATTTGTATTTTAAATAAAATCTGCACATTTTCGAAAATAGAAATTATTAAGTTGGCTATATATATGCAACTCCCATTAGTTTTCCTCTTTTTCCTCGAAACCTTAGATCTAAATAGAAAAACAAAATTCAATGTACTATATTTGGTAACCCTCCAGCTTATAAATAAGAAGGCCAATTTTTTTCTTATCACAAAAAAATCTAAAATTGCTCTCCCAATTCCCAAAAAAGTGAAAATGAGTCATTTCCTCTTAACTTATCTTGTCAATAACTCTTCTTCTGTCATACTTGTATTTGTGCATTGCCGATTCGACCCTGAAATAACAAATTCTTTACCTTCAAATAAGGTCGTTCAAGGGGAAATGATCACTGATTTCTGAACTCCAAACTCAAACTCAGCAGCTCTCATTTCTTCACTTCATCAGATTCTGAAACACAAATCTTTAATATTTTCAGGTCAACAAGCTGAAAAGTATCGCATCTTAGCTTCTTTTGAATAGTAATGTTATTTGAGTTTTCCTAATTAAGATTAGACAAGACTCCTTCCATGTCCATGACTTTCTGGTTGGTGTATAATTGTAGTATGATTACTCTTTCTTTCTTGAAAGACAACTTTTTTTCTCTAATTAATTCGATCAAATGAAAGGTTAAAAAAAAATTAAAAAAATTAAAAACCGAAAATGATTAAGCTAATAACAATTTTACTCTTGATGAGGCTTTGAGTAGCAGAATCGAGGGAGCGAGCCAAGCTAAATATATAATGTTTCCCACGAAACATCTCCAACTTTTAAAAGAAATACATCTAATATTTCTCTATACCACATTCTAACGAAACCTGATGATAAAATTGCATATATTTGATTGCTAATAAATTGAAATTGAAATTTAAAAAATCCAATAATTCCTTCTTTGTTAATAATTGATATTATATTATGATATCCCTTTTAGTATCATAGGGCTGCAAGATGGAGAAGACCAATCTGCTCTTTCTCACCTCTGTAAAGAGAAATTAAAACGTGCCAACACCAATAATAACTAAAATAAAGAGATGTGGCTGCGCAGGTAGACATCGACAACTTTGCCTCTCTCTGTACATTCTTCTTGAATCTTGACTACAGTTTTAAATCCAGCATGTCGTCACACAGATGAACAACTTGTCATTTGTTTTCCAGTGAAACTAAAGGATGTCGTTCGTAATCTTATGATTTGGAAAACATGTCATTCGTTTAATAAACGGAAAGGCCACTCGTCATACAATATTTAAAGTTCAGTAATTTCACTCTTATGGAACCCTTCTAGTTCACCCATCTATTTTATAACCAAGCAACCATATATAAAACCTTATTGTATATATGAGCGAAGAAAGGAACAAGAAGAGGACTTTTTATTAACAATGAAGATGACTTTGATGGATCAGCTCACATGCACAACATATAGATTTTTTATTAGCACAAGCGACAGAACCCATCCAAGTTGGGACGAATGGGCAGCCTTAATTAGCTTATCTTTTTACATAAATGAGTAGACTATATCAGATTCAAACTTCACCAAGTAGACTTTCTCAGGCTTGCAAATTCCCTTTCTTTCACCTTCATCAACAGTGGATTGAACAAAATTGAAACTGTGGAGAATTAAATTTATATATGTTTACAGTGCGTTGAACCATTCAATCTAACTACATACATATATCCATGTTTGTGGACAGTTATTGTCTTTATTGGTTGGAAAGTTGTTGAATGGCAAATTAATGGACAATGATATATGCAAAAAAGGGTCACCTTGAATTTTCCCTCGAGTTAAAAAAGTGATCCTTTACCTTCCTTAATTATCAGTAAAAACATCGTCCTCTGGTTAAGTCTATCAGGTTCTCTCACGTATGATGTTAATTGACTGTGTAATATAATGATGGGTGAAACCCTGATTGAATATATGATTTGAGACGTTTTACAAAATTAATATTGAACGATGATAAACACTAAAAATGAGAAAATTGATGAAATCAATGGAAAACTATACAGGAAACTGGAGATGGAGAGAGAGAAACTTGGATAAAATTTAATCTTTTTACTCTACAACAAAACCCTGGTGTCATAGCATATGTACCAACAAAACTATCTATGGAATCCCCCCTAAAATTTTCTCTCCATCCGAAAAATAGAGCTAGAAAGTTTCTCATCATCACTGGTCAGTAATTCATTCACTGTCTCATTAGATGTCCGTCCTCATGTCAATTCACTTTAGGAATGCTCTGAGAGCCAGCCGCCATGACCGGTTATGCGTCTTATAATGATCATTGACGTTCATCAACTGGACAGAACTTGCTACACTGACAACTCCTTACGCCAAAGTGTCTCGCAACAGATTCTTTAAGAACAACCAAATTTGTTACCAATGGGATCCAAGAAATCAGAGCACTTGAACCTCCATCTTCTGTTAACAATTAGAGGACCTATTATGCTCCAGAAACCCACCACAAATCCAAGAGCCATGCTCGCATAGAACCATTCCACTTCCTGTTCATTACCATCTTTTGCTCCTCCATTTTTCGAAGTTTGGTGTTGGAACAATCTCTGTATAGTTCTTTGGAAGGGGAAGTCCACAAAGTTCATTGTTGAAAGAAGAGGATGCTTCAAGGCTTTCTAGTTGGATGCTTAAAGGAATTTTCCCAGTCCAGTTATTATTGGATAAGTTCAAAGTATTAAAAAATGTCAAACTTTCACATACTTTGTGGGATGTCACCGAGAAGCCGATTTGGGGAGAAATCAACGGACTCCATTGAACTCGTAGCACCGATGTTCTCAGGAATTCTTCCATTAAAAAATTTGTGATAAATTCAAAGACTGCAACGCCATAAGGTCAGTCACTTCGTTAAGAATTTCTCCTGAGAACTTATTTTCGTGTAAGTCTAAGCTTCTTACTAAATTAAAAATGATATTAAAATTTTCCTCTTTTCCTTTCATCACAAGAGATACATCCTCAGTAATGGTAGTATCCATAGATGTTATATAGTTGAACAAGTCATTTTTCATCATAGCCTTACCACTAAATTTATTAAGACATCTTGGTAAGATCTCATATCACAAAAGAAATGGAAAATTGACCCGGACAAAGAATTATTGGAAAGATCAAGTGCAGACACATTGGAAGGAAAATGAGGTAACTTATTCCACTTAAATCAAATTAATAAAGTTTAACACCATCATCTGTCAAGTTTGGAATCCTCCCATAGATTTAGTTGTGAGATGGATTCAAATAATTTAATCCAGAAAGAGATTTCCAAAACCAATTACAAATGGTATCTGAAATACCTGACTTGGATATATCAAGATAAACTAATTGCTTTTGCCAAAACACCCAGAATGAAAACTGAGGCCCTAAATAACAACATTCAACTCTAAATGTTGAAGTTGGGAAGGAAAAACTGGATCAGGATAAGCTTTGATCACCTGGGAGTTTCTAGATGCATAAAACTAAGACAATCTAGTAGATTATGACCTGGGAAACAAATCCATTCAATTTGTTATAGGAAAGATCTAGAAATTTCATGGACAAAAGTTTTCCGAAAGACAGTGGATCTCTTCTTGTTCATTCTCTGAAAGCAACATTAGGAACAACACTAGGATTATCCTGCGAGAGTTTTTGCATAAGAAATTGATCTATATGATATATTGTGCTAATTAACTTTGTTACTTCATATTTTGATATAACCTGATATCTAACCAATAGCAACAAGTGCAAGTGGAACCAAAGCCCACAGAAGCTTATTAAACTGGAGAGAGGAAGCAGTGTTGAGGGCGGGACTGGGTGCAGTCAATGAAGAGGATGCTGACGGCGATGAAGGATAATTAGGACTAGCACTTGGGCATAGAGAAACTGGAGTCACCATGATCTCAACCTTCTGTCCGTCTTCACAATGACTAGGAACGCCGCATAAAAAATAGTGGTGACCAAGATTTTTGAGGGTGATGGAGTCGGAGCCAATTGTGTAGGTAGCCATAGGAGATGCGGCATTACAGGACTGGAAATCTTGATGTGTCACTTCCTTTACACTGTGAAATTGATTGTTGTAATATAATCTTACATAATTGAGGTACATAAAACAAAGTAGCCCCTAACATATAATAAATCTAGCTGCAGATTCCCAAAACACAACCAAATTTTTCCCCCAGGCTTTCGGCTATCCTATTAGTAAAGAAATTTAAATAAAGTAATGTTCATCATGATCATCCGAATGAAATTTCAGTAAAGATGGTTGCATTCTTGTAAGGTTACAAAAGATTTCAAGTCACAAGTCACAAAGTTACTTTTTCTACTGTTTTTCTTCTGATTTCTGCTAAGACTGAATATCTTAAATCTTCCCACTCTCAATATTTTCAATTTTCTTTCTAGGAAAATTATAAGATTAAGTGGGAGAGAAATATATTTTAGGACTTGATTGTGTGTGCTAAAACACCGATGGGCCATTCAATTTTTTAATCATAATGTTATCTTTCACTTCGAGCTTCTCTCAAAATTAGGAGCTGATATTGATCTGGTTAAGTTATAAACTAATATTGAAGTTGCAAATTCTCTTTTATAATTAAGTCATCAAGTCTATTGTTATTCAAATAAATAGCTTGCGGTGAATTACTCTCAAATCGATCAATATGAACAATTAACTGCTTATCACTGAGGTCCACCAACGTCAATAATGGTATAATGAATAACCAAAACGGGATTCTCCCATTGAGAGAGATTTTTTTTTTTTTTTTTTTAGATTTTCAAAATTTTTATTATAATTATTTATTAAATATTAAAATAATTTAATTTCTTAAATAACTAATTACATTGAACTCTCTTATGATATTTTAATGCTTTCAAACGTTAATTTACATAATTCTTAATATGTGAAGTTAAAATTTAATTGTGACATATGCTTTAGAATTAGTATTTTTACTACAGCGAAAACAACTTATTTTACCAGTCTTAACGGCTGAATTTTTCTTTCCAATTTTTGGAGATCTTTCAAGTATACCTTATATCAATTAATTTTCCATTTTACTCGTTTTCGTCTAAACAATTGGGTTATTTTTTTAATTTAACTCTTGAAAAGAAATCAAATAAATAAGAGATTTTGCAAATATCTAAAGATCTGAAATTAATTTTCATGTTTCAATATGATTACTTAATAATCTTTGAACATCATCTGGAAAATTGATGATACATTAAAATACTTACTTTTGCTAATGTTTATCTTTTTTATTTTACCTTTATCAACCTCATATTTGATCGATTTCTTATTTATTTCAATAATTTCAGTGATTTCATTTATTAGGCAATCTAATAAAATTGAAGGTAGGGAAACGTAGATCAGTGGGGTCTAGTTAGTTTTGATTGTGTGTGAGGTATATTTCACTTTAAATTATATATGTGTAAGAGATACTGAAGTGGAGTTCTGATTGGCAGCTTTCATACTGGATGTATTTTGCTTAGTTACACACAAGGTATGAAAATTGACTTTTATGCTTTTCCTTTATATCTCAATAATAATTGATTCTTTAATCATGTTGTTTTAAAGGAGCTTAGCAGCTGTATATCACTCGTGATTAGAAATCTTACAATTACAATGTTGCACCAATTCCAATATACAAATTGATTAAAGGATAAGAATTTGTAACGCTGATCTACCAGAGCTTGGACTAAAATGTCTGTTTTTACTTGGTTATGAAGCTAGGCTTTGCAAATTGTGACCTACGTACATTCTCAAGCTTGTAAGTGATAGGGATTTTGTAAATATATGAACATCGGTATCTACTACTGAGGTGAGTTTTCAAGATATATGGCATATTCATCCTATTTTGGAAGGATGAGTGATGGTCTTTATAAATACAATTTTTATTTCAATTATACTATTGACATATAAATACACATAATTTATTATAGAAGAATATATACATATTATTCTTTCATTATTACCAAGAATTGTATGTTGAATATTTCTTTAGATGTTTCTACTTGTCATTAATGTGTATGTTCACTCGTCTTTATGCTCATAGCAGGTAACAAAAGTTTCAAGTCTCAAAGTGAAGTGCCTTTTTCTAGGTTACAACTTTCCATTTAGGTATGATTTCTTAAGATTTATGAACTCTGTTATTTACTTTTATTACTATTTGTCTTTTGGTTTGTGCTAAATTAGATATATTAATTCTTCCACTTTCAAATATTTTAATTACCTTTCTAAGAAAGAAAAGGAAAATTAAATGATTAAGGATGAGATAAGATATATAAACACTTGTTTGTGCTAACACCCTGATGGCTGATTGAGATTGTTTATTCATAATTTTGATTAGCTAGTTTCTTGTCTACCATTTGCAGCTTGTTTGAGAATTCTATGGAGATATCTATCTATTGAAGTTCTAAGAAGTTATTGAAGCCATCTCTTTACTTGAGAAAGTAAGCAACATTTTTTTTTTTTTTTTCTATTTCATTCGCTTTAGCCCCTATAAGTCAAAATCTTGGTTCCACCACTAAATATTGCACATTCAATTAAGCATTATTATATAATTAAGTGTTTCTATAGTGATTTGGTATTAAAATTATAAGGATTTTTGGATTAAAAATCAAAATTTTAATGACGAGTATGCGTAGAATATAAGTATCAAGTGCACATTTTTTATTTTTTTAGTGTAAACAACTTTATCATTATTTTATTTTATTTTATTTTTTGTTGGGGATTTCCTTCAATACAAAACCTAACTCTTCTTTTATTGTTCAAATCATTTGGGTAGTTCATTATTTTTCAAGTCAAACTCTTGCTTCTTCAAGATAATACTTTTGACGTCAAATTGTCTCCCCAAGGTACTGCTTCACACATTGAACTCGCTTATGATATTTTAATGCCATAATAAAATATCTTTTCAAACATTAATCTACATTATTCTTGACATTGATACAAATGTTTTAAGAGTAAATGACTTTTTTCCACCCAAATAATGTTCTAATGACACTTTTTTACCCATGGACTTTAAGATAACACTTTATTACCCAAATGTTATATTTTGTTAACAATTTCCATTAATTACAATGATTTTCATTATGAAGATGAAATTACCTCTAACCGACCTCACCTAGGGGTGAAAACCAAGCTGAGCTACTTAGCTCGATTTTGGCTCAAACTCGGCTTGACATTCGAGTAGCTCGAGTAGTGTTTCGAGTGACATCCAATCACAATAGAACTCAACTTGAAAGGTTCGTGAGTTTTTCCAAGCTCAAGGGTTAAGTAGATAGTTTTTAATGTAATAGGGGTCATATGAAATTTATAAGTTGTAAAATTTGCAAATCCACCCCATACAAATAATGTAAAACACGATTTGGGAACAAAAATTAAAATCCCTAAATCACAAATATCTCTTCTCTCATTCTTCGTCGTGTCTCTTTGAAAATCAAAATCGCAACTTTCATTCACCATTTTTCTCATCGCCATTTTCTTCCCTCTCCTTCGCTGGTTGTCGACTTGTCATCTTGCTTAATCTTCTCTCAACTCATCTGCTGTTGACGCTCATCCTATTTTTCTAAGCCTGATTCTGGATGTTACCGATGTAAAAAATCAACGCCCTACCCACCGTTAGAAAGGTTTTGATCTCCTATTTCCATCCATGCGCCTTTCGTTGCCGTTTGACTCATTGTTCACCAGAAAAGCGTATTGCTTTTTTTGCAAAAACTGGCATTTTTCAGTCTCATTTGTGGTCGATTTATCGATTGGAAATAACCATGGTTGGTCCCATTCAAATCGTCTTGGTTTGGTCTTCAAAACCCTGGTCTTGGATTTCCCTGGTTGTTCGCCATTTGTTAGTGTCAAAGGATTGTTTCTTGCAAGGAATAGTCGGTTTTGGCCATTAACGTCCAGGTTTTTCTAGAATTTTTTTGTTGTTTGTATAGTTTTCTGAAGTATGTAAGTAGTGTTTGGTAGTCCAAAATCCCCACAAAATTGCTTGGACCCAATTGCACCCCACCTGCTCGCTGATTTGCTTAGACTCGAACTCGAATACAGTTATTACTAGAACTTGATTAAAGCTCGAATAATGGAACTCGATTAAGGCTTGAATAAAACTCAATTACAGCTTGACTAAAACTCGATTATATGAACTCAAATTCCAATTTCAGGTACTAAGTTCGAGTTCGAACTCGATTCCTCAAGCTTAGTTAGGCTCACACTCGAACTCGAATTCGGTACTGTAGCGCTCGAGTCGAGTTTGAATACCCAGATGCTCGACTAAATTTCAACCCCAACCTCACCTCACCTATTTTCACACTCTAATCGCCGGAAAACATCCACTTTTTTTCGGAGAACACGCATCTTTCAAGCTTGTTTCTGATCGATTGGCACACAGAAAATTCACACTTCCACAACCACTAGAACCCCTTTCACCCCCTCTTCAAAACCCACCATCTAGTCAGCTTTCCCCACTTCCAATTTGCCGTCCACCAGTCATTTTTTGGGTGCCCTCCAACTGCCCGTAAAAATTCCCCAACCAACTTAGCCCTCTGAGCACTCGTGCAACCTACCCAAAACACAAAAGCGTGGCCGTATTCTATCTCTCTTTTTTTCCTTGCTCACCAATTAGGTCAAGCTTGTGGTTGTTTTTGTTGGTTTATTTTAGGCGGAGTGCTGCCTTGTTGCATGTTCTCAATTGGAAAGTGTTGGGTTGAGCTCAACCTTTTGTTGAACAGGTTGTGTGCAAGGGAAAACGGGGAAAGGTGGAAGCTTTGGGGAGTGCCAATAATTATCATGCAAAAGCCAAAAAACACTCCTAACAACCTTCCTTTGTCATCTTCCAGCAATCAAACACCTAATTGGGTCAATCCCAATTCATCAATCAAACAAACAAGCCAAAACCTAGGAAAGAGGGGCAGTGATGACTAATGGCGTTCAACAAGCAAAGGGTGTTGGGAATGTTAGGAGTTTTGGAGAGGACGTGCTAGTGGAGTGAATAGTGGTTCTAGGAGTAATTTCTGATGATAGGGTCACCGAAAAAGAGCTTGAGCTCGCAAACAACCAACCATACCCAGACCATCCTACCCTTCTAATAAAATTTTGACTATCAGGCCCTTCTTCCTAATAAAATTTATTAACAGAATTGTGTTTTAGGTAGTAAAATTGTATTTTAAAAGTCCGTAGGCGGGATGGGAAAGTGTCATTAGGCCATTATTTGGGTGGGAAAAAGTCATTTACTCATTTTTTAATGTTATATCTTTTTAAGTCCAAAGGTGTACGTTAGTTGACTACATAAAATGTCAACTTTTGACTTTATATCTTCATTGTCGAGTTAATTGGAAGGAATTGTTAAAATTTGTTTGAAAATCGTTAGGACTTACTTCATTTAACCCTTTGTGGGATAGGTAAATATTAATTTTTTGCATGGTTATCAGAAACTATCAAATACCCTCCTATCATACTTCTATTAGGGTTTATGATACTTGTACTAGGGGATTTGATAATATCGTGGATAGGAATGAACAAATCCTCGAATTTTTTTTTTTAAAAAAAAAAAGTATTATATTTTTTATTTGGAGGATGGGTTTTCATCCTCTCCCTGCCCCCTTCCCAAAATCAATTGAGGGATGAGTTTTCATCCCCATCCCTATCTCATTCGCTAAATTTTAGCTTAAATGCCTTTTCCATATAGGGCAGGGACAAGTGGGGACTCGTCCCCATAAGGAAAATTGTCATCCCTTTTATGGAGGGATTTTTAATAATTATGGGGAGACATATAATAGTTTCTAATAATTGGGTGTGTTTTACATCAATAGTTCTTACAAGGAGTTGTAAAAATTAAACCAAAAATTTAAGTCAAAAGATAGCAATTGTCACTGTACTATTGTAGCAAATATTGTGACTAAATGTTACTTACCTAAATTCTCAATTATTTATTATTATATCATTACTCCATCGGTATAAAAGGTGAAGTTAGTTATAATCAATTTGTAAGATTTGCTTTAGAATTAGTGTGTTTGTTATAGGGAACGACTTATTTTACCTCTTAATTTTAAGGGCTGAACATAAAAAATATCCAATTTTTAGAAATCTTCCAAGTATGATCTCTCAAATTAATTTATTTTCTATTTTATTCTTGTCGATCTTCATCAAAAAAATTTGGTTATTTTTTCATTTTATTCTTGAAAAGAAATCAGATCAATAACTTTCTCTATACTACACCCATTTTTTTAACCAACATCCCTCATTAAGAAAAGATTTATAAAATATATGAAAATTCTCAAAAGCTGATCAATCAAAAACAAATTAAAATTGAACATTGTTTTCCACCTTTAATTTATGAAAGACCACTTTCAGCCTTTGTTCTTTTAGGTTCACACATGAGATTAAACAAATTAAAACTGAACATGATATTTTAACTTAAATTTTAATGCTAATTGTGAGTCGTACATTAATTATAGTCAAATAGTGTTGAAACTGTTGATAGTTGTTGATGTGGTATAGAAAATAATGAACTTCTGAATGCATAATCGATCTCTATATATGTTGTCCCTTTAAATATTTTAATTATAATTGAGGTGAAAGATCAGTTACAAATATTAAGAGAAAATATTTATGACAGTTGAAGACATATATCTTAAGAACTTAAATTAACCTAATAGCCATGAAACTGACAACTAATAGTCTAGTACTCAGTTATAACACTTAACAATATATTGTTTCCCATAAAGAATCTTATTCACATTCACGTCTATTTTTCCTTTTACAACTTAGTTTGATCCTGTTTCCTTTCTTTACTTCTTGCAGCTAAGGCTAGGACAAGTTGGGTACTTGTGCTTCATTGGTTTTCATTCAAAGCCTGTCATTTCACAATTACCTAAAGAGAAAGGTGTTGAAATTTCTCATTCACCCTTTTGCAATAGTTTTTCTTTGTTTGATATCATACTAATAATCAATTTCTGATATCATAGAGGATGGAAATAGCAGCACCTTTTGTGCAACCTATTATATCGGAGGTTGAAGAAAACTTGTTGGAGTTCACCAAACGTCATGTTCGTTATTTATTTTGTTTCAAGAGCATTGTCAAAGATTTTATGGAAGAATATCAACATTTGAAATTCGCACGTGACCATGTGCAGCAGGATGTTGAAAGTGCGGAGAGAAATACTGAAGTGATTGAGAATGATGTGCAAAAGTGGCTAAAAGATTTCAATGAGGTTGTCAAAGATGTTCAAAAGTTAGAAGAAGAAATAGAAGAAAATAAAACAAGTCTCGGTGGGCAGTGTCCTAATTGGGGTTTTCGATATCGATTGAGTAGGAAAGCAGAACATAAAAGACATATTATGTTAAATCTATGGGGAAGTGGCAAATTTGAGAAAGTCTCCCATCCTGCTACATTACCAGGGATAGAATTTTCAATCCCTAAAGATTTTCAACTTTTCAAGTCTCACGAACCTGCTTTTCATCAGATTATTGAGGCACTAAAAAGTGATCAAACCCATCTAGTTGGATTGTATGGGATGGGAGGAGCGGGTAAGACAACCTTAGCAAAAGCAGTTGGTAAGAAAGTCAAAGAAGAGAAATTTTTTGATGAGGTTGTGATAATTGTTGTATCCCAAGCTCCAAACTTCAAAAAAATTCAAGGTGACCTTGCAGAGTCATTAGATATGAGATTAGAGGAGGAAGGTGAAGAAAGAAGAGCAAAGCGTTTGCATTTGAGATTTGTGGAGACTAAAAAGAAGATCCTCATTATCTTAGATGATGTTTGGAAAAAAATTGACTTGAAATCTACGATAGGAATTCCTTTTGGCGATGATCTCAAAGGTTGCAAAATCCTTCTAACAACTCGCAGGCAAAACATATGTATTCGTATGAGTTGTCAGCCACGAGTTCTTCTGAATGAACTGAATGAAGATGAAGGATTGGCTTTACTTAAAAAGCATGCAAGTATAGCTGACGATGAATCTCATCCATTGAATGATCTAGCGGTTAAAGTTGCTCAAGAATGCAAGGGATTGCCATTAGCAATTGTAACTATTGGGAGTGCTTTAAAAGAAAAGGGCATTGATGAATGGACACTTGTGTTTGAGAAATTTAAAAAGTCAAAACTTGTAGATATACATAAAGACATTGATGTTGATGATGATGTATATGCCATTCTCAAGGTCAGCTATGATTATTTGGAGGGTAACGAAACGAAGTTATGTTTTTTGTTGTGTTCATTGTTTCCTGAAGATTATGAAATTCCTTTGGAGGAATTGGTTAGATATGGAATGGGTCTAGGTTTATTTCCAGATGTTGACTCAATTGAACAAGCAAGGAGACAACTGCGAGTAATGGTTAATAAGCTCATAGCTTCTTGTTTGTTGATAGATGCTGGAGTAGAAGGATTTGTGAAAATGCATGATGTGATTCGTGATGTTGCCTTGGGAATAGCATCCAAAGGAGAAAATGTATTTCTTGTTAAAGCTGGCTTGGGATTGACTGAGTGGCCAAAGGAGGGAAGGCACCTTGGACAATGTACTGCAATCTCCTTAATGAACAACAAAATACACATGCTTCCTGATCACTTGGTGTGTCCAAAGCTTGAATCCTTGTTATTGTCTCATCAATACTGTTATGACCGTCGCGACAACATTGAAGTTTCAAACCATTTTTTTGAAGAGATGAAAGCATTAAAAAATGTAAGTCTAAGTTATGTGGACCTGTCATTAAAATCACTTAAGTTCTTAACAGGTCTCAAAACTCTAGAGCTGATTCATTGCAATTTGAGAGACATTTCTTCCCTTGAACATCTTGCCAAACTTGAAATTCTTAGTTTAAGAAATTCATTGTTTGATGAATTTCCAAAAGAACTTGGGGCACTCACTGAATTAAGATTGCTGGATTTACGTGACTGTAGTCGGTTAAAAAGAATTCCTTCCAATGTGATAAGGAGATTTTCTCAGCTAGAAGAATTATATGTGGGTGACTACTTTGACGAAAGGGAAGATGGAGAGACGAGTACAGAAGGAAGTAATGCTAGTCTCTCTGAGTTGAATTGTCTATCCAATTTGGTTGTACTATTTCTGAAAACAAATGCTAAATGCCTATCGGGAGACTTGGGTTTTATTTGCAACAAATTGCTAAGGTATGACATTAGTGTGAATACTTGTACAGAGTTTTTTTATGTATCAGAATCAAGAATAAGAGCTTTAACAGTGAGCAGAATTGGAGCAGCCTCACTGATTACATTAAAAACTTTGTATCATACCCTGGAATATCTTGCAATCCAATCTTGCAACAAGCTAGAAGAAATATTTCAACTTGATGGGCTCTGTCATAGTAGGGAAGAAAATCTTGCAATGCTTTCAAGTTTAGCTGAGTTACACTTGGCATATTTACCACAACTGAGATGTATATGGAAAGGGCCAACCCATATTGTAAACTTGAAAAGTCTTACAAATGTTGAAATGATAGAGTGCAAAAGTTTGATTTATCTCTTCACTTTGTCAGTTGCTCAGAGTTTGGTCCAACTGAAATCACTCAACGTAAGTGATTGTGAGAGTTTGAAGCATTTGGTCATAACAAAAGAGGGTGATAATGATGAAATATCATCAGAACACGATCTTCAAATGCACAGTCCTTTCTTGTCAAAACTAGAATCTCTCAAGATAGAATCATGCGAGAGATTGGAGCATATTTTTCCTGTCTCTTTTACACGAGTACTTGTACAGCTTGAAGAGTTTACAGTGAAAAATGCCCCTCAATTAAAGCAAGTTTTTTATTTGGATAATGGAAATGAAGAAAATGTAGTTGCCGGAGATGGAAAGGAAACTGCAGTCATCGAGCTCCCAAAGTTGAAAGTACTAAGACTGGATGGACTTGCAAGCATCATGAGTTTCTGCCCTGATAATTTTCATTCATGTTGGCCAGCTTTGGAAGTTTTCACAATAGACAAGTGCTCAATGTCTTTCGTTACTGAAGTTGTATCTAAAGTACGAGATCTACAAGAGGTATATATCTTTTTTTAATTATTTGTCAAGATTTCGTTGAACATTTTGGAATTTAATTAAAATTCAAACAAATAAAAATTCATTACTTTTAATGATTTATATTTAGTTTCTTTATTAGAAATATCATTATGGACATTGTTTTTTTAATTAAATAAAAAAAATTAATAAACTTTTAGATTTTAATGAACATTGATTTATATTAAATATTAATATAGAAACATTGGGTGTCATCCGATTTTATATTACTTACTAAGAGCATTTGAGTAGGGGGGCCACAAATAATTTATTATTTATAAAAACTGTTAATTTAATAATCTAATAATATTCAATAATATATATCAACTTTATTTAATTTTATTTTCTGAATCAATGAATTAAAACTAATAGATGAATGTGATTTGTTTTCTCCAGAATTTGCGAATTCTAAGGATTGGCAGTTGGAATCAGTTGTACGACACAGTTGTCTCTGGGCTAAAAGATGGCTTCTTCCAAAATTTGGAAGAATTAAGTATCACTAATTGTGAAGCAAAAGTGTTATTTCAGTTGGAAGACGGAGAACAACAAATATTCTCACTCCCAAAATTGAAAAAATTGCAAGAATTAGAAGGTTTATGTAAGAGTCCTACGCTTGTTTCAAGCCTGGAGAATCTTACCACTTTAGAAATATCCGAATGCAATAGGCTGAGAAATATCTTCTCACCTTCTCTTGCTCAAAATCTGTCCCAATTGCAAGTTCTGAAGATCTTTGATTGTGGGGAATTGGAGGAAATCATTGTTGAAGAAGATGAAGAGAATCAAATTCTATTCTTCCAAAATCTCTTACAAATTTATGTTGAAAGATGCCATAAAATAAAACGTTTGTGTTCTATCACGGCAGCTCCACGTCTTCAAAAACTAAAAACCATATCTGTAAGAGATAACTCTGAATTAGAAGAAGTATTTGGAGATAAAGATGTTGCTGAAGTCATGGATCACAAAGAAATCGTGCTGCCTCAACTTGATTGGTTGAGACTCCACCAATTACCAAGTCTCACCAAGTTCTGCCCAGTGGGTTATCACTTCATATTTCCATCTTTGAATTGTTTATTGATGATTAAAAGATGTCCCAAGATGAGTACAGGGTTTTCCTCTGGTCAAGACGGATCTGTGCATGCCAAAGCAAAGGTACTTACTCCTTTTCAAATCCTTCACTCAATTAAATGTTGTAACAATCATTATTTAAAGATTTTGTGTCAAAAATTTGTTTAATTCTTCTTACAAATGTAATTTCTTAATTTATTTATTTATTTTCATTTTTCACTTGTACTTGTTCGTTTTCTATGATGTCACAAAAAGCTTATTATTACATTCTCATTTCATATCCTTTAATTAATTGGTTCCGTAGCCATTGAAAATGGGCAACCGAGATGAAATTGCAGACTTCCCTTCACAGCCTTCCATTGATATCGAATGCTATGATTACCAAATACAAGAAAGGTTACCGCGATACATAGAAAATGATGAGCGAAGTATCAAGCAGAAGGAGGAAGAAATTAACACTGAAACTTGAAACATGCTCATTATTGCTAACCAGGTAACATGGTTGTATTTTAGTTTTCTCCATTTTTGTTGTATTCTTGTAGCTTTTAATTTAATGATAAACAGGGTATCCACCAACTGCTTGTGGAAATTCCCACACGTAACGCACGTATCTTAGAAGTTCAAAACATGGAGTATGGCTATTGCTTCTGTTGATTGAAATTTCTTATGATTTTTCAGTTGGCTCCTGTTGAAGCAAATGATATTTTGCTGGAAACTTTTTGCATGGCTGGTTTGAAGGTTTGGCGCCAGTTTTTGAATTAAAGGGGCTGTCTGTCAAGTGATATTTATATACTGGTTAGGTGAAGACAGCCGGTGATTAAGGCAACAAAATCCCAATGCTATTTGTGTTTGTTAAGGGTAGTTCAAATTGTATCATTTTAAAGATTATTTATATGGTGTGAAGTGGTTGTAACAGTATTGTATGATGTCTATATATGTCTGTGTTTTGAATGAAAATATGAGGACTTTTTTGCAGTCAGTTTTTTCTCTTCCGTTTTAGCTTTTTCTCTCTTGCACAAATAACCTTTCTTCAAAAACTTTAGAACCTTGCAAAGCCAACAGCTCCACTGAATCATCCTAAGAATAATGGATCTACTTGAAGGGATGAAAATGTGTTGAGCTTAAAAGTAAGCTTGATCAAGCTGAGCAGCAGCTGTAAGGAGTGCTGTGTCTGCACAATGCTATTTTAAAAAATCCCAAGCACACAAAAAGCCTCAATGTGTGAAATGATTTTGATTTTTCTGTTGAAATGTTTCATTAATTCTGGAAATACAATGTCATGTTGTTTATTTACTCAACAACAGTCCAGGACGCTGGCAATCCGTGTCAAATGCCAACTAAACTTGAAGAAATAAGAAACAAAAACACTATTGCTGTTAAATGTTAGATTACCAAATCTTGTATAGTATAGCATAATCTAACATTATATATTAGAAACATATTTTTTGTTGTTTTATTAAGATTATAATTGATAAGTCACTGGATTTTAAAGCTAGATTTGTATTTTAAATAAAATCTGCACATTTTCGAAAATAGAAATTATTAAGTTGGCTATATATATGCAACTCCCATTAGTTTTCCTCTTTTTCCTCGAAACCTTAGATCTAAATAGAAAAACAAAATTCNTAACATTATATATTAGAAACATATTTTTTGTTGTTTTATTAAGATTATAATTGATAAGTCACTGGATTTTAAAGCTAGATTTGTATTTTAAATAAAATCTGCACATTTTCGAAAATAGAAATTATTAAGTTGGCTATATATATGCAACTCCCATTAGTTTTCCTCTTTTTCCTCGAAACCTTAGATCTAAATAGAAAAACAAAATTCAATGTACTATATTTGGTAACCCTCCAGCTTATAAATAAGAAGGCCAATTTTTTTCTTATCACAAAAAAATCTAAAATTGCTCTCCCAATTCCCAAAAAAGTGAAAATGAGTCATTTCCTCTTAACTTATCTTGTCAATAACTCTTCTTCTGTCATACTTGTATTTGTGCATTGCCGATTCGACCCTGAAATAACAAATTCTTTACCTTCAAATAAGGTCGTTCAAGGGGAAATGATCACTGATTTCTGAACTCCAAACTCAAACTCAGCAGCTCTCATTTCTTCACTTCATCAGATTCTGAAACACAAATCTTTAATATTTTCAGGTCAACAAGCTGAAAAGTATCGCATCTTAGCTTCTTTTGAATAGTAATGTTATTTGAGTTTTCCTAATTAAGATTAGACAAGACTCCTTCCATGTCCATGACTTTCTGGTTGGTGTATAATTGTAGTATGATTACTCTTTCTTTCTTGAAAGACAACTTTTTTTCTCTAATTAATTCGATCAAATGAAAGGTTAAAAAAAAATTAAAAAAATTAAAAACCGAAAATGATTAAGCTAATAACAATTTTACTCTTGATGAGGCTTTGAGTAGCAGAATCGAGGGAGCGAGCCAAGCTAAATATATAATGTTTCCCACGAAACATCTCCAACTTTTAAAAGAAATACATCTAATATTTCTCTATACCACATTCTAACGAAACCTGATGATAAAATTGCATATATTTGATTGCTAATAAATTGAAATTGAAATTTAAAAAATCCAATAATTCCTTCTTTGTTAATAATTGATATTATATTATGATATCCCTTTTAGTATCATAGGGCTGCAAGATGGAGAAGACCAATCTGCTCTTTCTCACCTCTGTAAAGAGAAATTAAAACGTGCCAACACCAATAATAACTAAAATAAAGAGATGTGGCTGCGCAGGTAGACATCGACAACTTTGCCTCTCTCTGTACATTCTTCTTGAATCTTGACTACAGTTTTAAATCCAGCATGTCGTCACACAGATGAACAACTTGTCATTTGTTTTCCAGTGAAACTAAAGGATGTCGTTCGTAATCTTATGATTTGGAAAACATGTCATTCGTTTAATAAACGGAAAGGCCACTCGTCATACAATATTTAAAGTTCAGTAATTTCACTCTTATGGAACCCTTCTAGTTCACCCATCTATTTTATAACCAAGCAACCATATATAAAACCTTATTGTATATATGAGCGAAGAAAGGAACAAGAAGAGGACTTTTTATTAACAATGAAGATGACTTTGATGGATCAGCTCACATGCACAACATATAGATTTTTTATTAGCACAAGCGACAGAACCCATCCAAGTTGGGACGAATGGGCAGCCTTAATTAGCTTATCTTTTTACATAAATGAGTAGACTATATCAGATTCAAACTTCACCAAGTAGACTTTCTCAGGCTTGCAAATTCCCTTTCTTTCACCTTCATCAACAGTGGATTGAACAAAATTGAAACTGTGGAGAATTAAATTTATATATGTTTACAGTGCGTTGAACCATTCAATCTAACTACATACATATATCCATGTTTGTGGACAGTTATTGTCTTTATTGGTTGGAAAGTTGTTGAATGGCAAATTAATGGACAATGATATATGCAAAAAAGGGTCACCTTGAATTTTCCCTCGAGTTAAAAAAGTGATCCTTTACCTTCCTTAATTATCAGTAAAAACATCGTCCTCTGGTTAAGTCTATCAGGTTCTCTCACGTATGATGTTAATTGACTGTGTAATATAATGATGGGTGAAACCCTGATTGAATATATGATTTGAGACGTTTTACAAAATTAATATTGAACGATGATAAACACTAAAAATGAGAAAATTGATGAAATCAATGGAAAACTATACAGGAAACTGGAGATGGAGAGAGAGAAACTTGGATAAAATTTAATCTTTTTACTCTACAACAAAACCCTGGTGTCATAGCATATGTACCAACAAAACTATCTATGGAATCCCCCCTAAAATTTTCTCTCCATCCGAAAAATAGAGCTAGAAAGTTTCTCATCATCACTGGTCAGTAATTCATTCACTGTCTCATTAGATGTCCGTCCTCATGTCAATTCACTTTAGGAATGCTCTGAGAGCCAGCCGCCATGACCGGTTATGCGTCTTATAATGATCATTGACGTTCATCAACTGGACAGAACTTGCTACACTGACAACTCCTTACGCCAAAGTGTCTCGCAACAGATTCTTTAAGAACAACCAAATTTGTTACCAATGGGATCCAAGAAATCAGAGCACTTGAACCTCCATCTTCTGTTAACAATTAGAGGACCTATTATGCTCCAGAAACCCACCACAAATCCAAGAGCCATGCTCGCATAGAACCATTCCACTTCCTGTTCATTACCATCTTTTGCTCCTCCATTTTTCGAAGTTTGGTGTTGGAACAATCTCTGTATAGTTCTTTGGAAGGGGAAGTCCACAAAGTTCATTGTTGAAAGAAGAGGATGCTTCAAGGCTTTCTAGTTGGATGCTTAAAGGAATTTTCCCAGTCCAGTTATTATTGGATAAGTTCAAAGTATTAAAAAATGTCAAACTTTCACATACTTTGTGGGATGTCACCGAGAAGCCGATTTGGGGAGAAATCAACGGACTCCATTGAACTCGTAGCACCGATGTTCTCAGGAATTCTTCCATTAAAAAATTTGTGATAAATTCAAAGACTGCAACGCCATAAGGTCAGTCACTTCGTTAAGAATTTCTCCTGAGAACTTATTTTCGTGTAAGTCTAAGCTTCTTACTAAATTAAAAATGATATTAAAATTTTCCTCTTTTCCTTTCATCACAAGAGATACATCCTCAGTAATGGTAGTATCCATAGATGTTATATAGTTGAACAAGTCATTTTTCATCATAGCCTTACCACTAAATTTATTAAGACATCTTGGTAAGATCTCATATCACAAAAGAAATGGAAAATTGACCCGGACAAAGAATTATTGGAAAGATCAAGTGCAGACACATTGGAAGGAAAATGAGGTAACTTATTCCACTTAAATCAAATTAATAAAGTTTAACACCATCATCTGTCAAGTTTGGAATCCTCCCATAGATTTAGTTGTGAGATGGATTCAAATAATTTAATCCAGAAAGAGATTTCCAAAACCAATTACAAATGGTATCTGAAATACCTGACTTGGATATATCAAGATAAACTAATTGCTTTTGCCAAAACACCCAGAATGAAAACTGAGGCCCTAAATAACAACATTCAACTCTAAATGTTGAAGTTGGGAAGGAAAAACTGGATCAGGATAAGCTTTGATCACCTGGGAGTTTCTAGATGCATAAAACTAAGACAATCTAGTAGATTATGACCTGGGAAACAAATCCATTCAATTTGTTATAGGAAAGATCTAGAAATTTCATGGACAAAAGTTTTCCGAAAGACAGTGGATCTCTTCTTGTTCATTCTCTGAAAGCAACATTAGGAACAACACTAGGATTATCCTGCGAGAGTTTTTGCATAAGAAATTGATCTATATGATATATTGTGCTAATTAACTTTGTTACTTCATATTTTGATATAACCTGATATCTAACCAATAGCAACAAGTGCAAGTGGAACCAAAGCCCACAGAAGCTTATTAAACTGGAGAGAGGAAGCAGTGTTGAGGGCGGGACTGGGTGCAGTCAATGAAGAGGATGCTGACGGCGATGAAGGATAATTAGGACTAGCACTTGGGCATAGAGAAACTGGAGTCACCATGATCTCAACCTTCTGTCCGTCTTCACAATGACTAGGAACGCCGCATAAAAAATAGTGGTGACCAAGATTTTTGAGGGTGATGGAGTCGGAGCCAATTGTGTAGGTAGCCATAGGAGATGCGGCATTACAGGACTGGAAATCTTGATGTGTCACTTCCTTTACACTGTGAAATTGATTGTTGTAATATAATCTTACATAATTGAGGTACATAAAACAAAGTAGCCCCTAACATATAATAAATCTAGCTGCAGATTCCCAAAACACAACCAAATTTTTCCCCCAGGCTTTCGGCTATCCTATTAGTAAAGAAATTTAAATAAAGTAATGTTCATCATGATCATCCGAATGAAATTTCAGTAAAGATGGTTGCATTCTTGTAAGGTTACAAAAGATTTCAAGTCACAAGTCACAAAGTTACTTTTTCTACTGTTTTTCTTCTGATTTCTGCTAAGACTGAATATCTTAAATCTTCCCACTCTCAATATTTTCAATTTTCTTTCTAGGAAAATTATAAGATTAAGTGGGAGAGAAATATATTTTAGGACTTGATTGTGTGTGCTAAAACACCGATGGGCCATTCAATTTTTTAATCATAATGTTATCTTTCACTTCGAGCTTCTCTCAAAATTAGGAGCTGATATTGATCTGGTTAAGTTATAAACTAATATTGAAGTTGCAAATTCTCTTTTATAATTAAGTCATCAAGTCTATTGTTATTCAAATAAATAGCTTGCGGTGAATTACTCTCAAATCGATCAATATGAACAATTAACTGCTTATCACTGAGGTCCACCAACGTCAATAATGGTATAATGAATAACCAAAACGGGATTCTCCCATTGAGAGAGATTTTTTTTTTTTTTTTTTTTGAGATAAACCCAGAAATTGTTTGGGAAAGAATAAAAAAATTGCAGTCCATAGATGAGACTCCCCACCAAGCTAACAACTTGGACAGGCCCAAGGCAACTACAAAAGACCAAGAAAGGAAAGAAAATCTATCCTTTACAAAAAGGCTAAGCCTAAGACCATACAGAAATCAAACACTTCAAACCCAAAAAGAGAATATCCCTGCCCAGTCGAGAGCCACGGCCTAAGACCAGCGCATCAACAAGGAAAAAGTCCCGTTCATTCGTAGTCCGCAAATTCTGCCCCAGCCCAATCTCCTTAGCAAAAAGAGATTGAACCTTCGTTGGTTGATGGAGAAGAGGCTACTGTTGGAAGGGAAGTTACCATGAAACCAGGCACAACTAAGGTCGACGCCAATCACATGACCGGTTAAAGTATCTCAAGTGACTCGATCCCATGAGCAGCAATCAGTATCCTCTTTCCAAGAGATTGTTACTTCCCCTGCTTTTCAAGAAACAGGACAGTATGTTTAAAGAGAAGGGGATCATGCTTTGATTTGTTTATGCAAGATGGGGATTCTATCAGAGGAGATCACAAACAATGGTGCGATTTTGTTTTGCATGCCAAGTGTATTAATTACAAGATAAATTGAGAGATTAGTCCAAGTAAAGAGCAATAGGATAAATATGGAAAGAGACGCTCCAACTAAATGTAAAGAGACGATAACTGAGGTACTCACCAGTCAATGTAGCAGCGGAAGAGAAACAGAGTATTATTACTTACCATTTTTGTTGTATTCTTGTAGCTTTTAATTTAATGATGAACAGAGTATCTACCAACTGCTTGTGGAAATTCCCCAACGTTACTCACATATCTTAAAAGTTCAAAACATAGACTATGGCTATTGCTTCTGTTGATTGAAATTTCTTTTGATTTTTCAGTCGGCTCCACTGAATCATCCTAAGAATAAAGGATCTAATTTTGAAGGGATGAAAAGTTTTGAGCTTAAAATTAAGCTTGATCAAGCCAAGCAGCAGCTGTAACGAGTTTAGTAAGCTGTAAGCAGCAGCTGTAAATATAAAGTACAGGTCAACTTTTCTATGGCCTTTCCTATGTTCTAATCACATACTATACTAAAAAGCTAATATACAAGATTTTGAGATCTCTTTTATGACTACTTAAAAACAATGAAATCTACTATTACCGATCAAGCTATTTTAGCAGAGGACAATATCATAGCCAATTCATCAACTCTTAAGTAATAAGTTCTCATGTGGCATTTTACAAATTTTCTTAAAAATTAAAAAAAGAAAAATAGGGGTTTGGATATATATAATTAACTCAATAATCACAATTTTAAAAAAAAATCAGTAGAGTTTATTTAGAGGATAAATGTAGTTGTAAAATTTAGTAACTTACTAATTATATCTTAAATGATATAACAAATGACATGTTTTTAATAGATAACGTTAAACTAATTAAATTATATAATACTCGAGAATCTAATATTTAGCAGTATAGTTTTAATAGATAACGTTAGACTATGTTAGATTGTGCTAGCACAAACCAACTATCAAATTCTCTCATGTAGTACAAAATTCTCTCATTAACCCAAATTTAAAAAAAATTTGAATCATAAGAGGCATTAGGTTTGGTGGAGTAAAAAAGGGACTGGAAATGGGAAAATACCATTCCCTTGTTTGGTTCAAAGAATTTCAACAAGAAAAGGGATTCCAATCCACTTTCCTTTAAAAAGTGGTAGTTGGAAAGAATGCCCATTCCAGGGGCATTTTGATTCGTGTGCGAAAAATGCGCACCTTTCCCCTTGTTTCAAATATTTTTTCCTATTTTAACCCTTAAATAGTTTATAAATTTCTTTAATTATTTTTATTTAATAATTATTAATAGTTAAATTAAACTATTGTTTTATCCCTACAGTTACAACTATGACAATCGCCAACCTACTATCGTTACTAGAATCACACTTCTAACATCAGTCATATTATTATTGAATATCCGAATGGAGGATTTGATTGAATAAAGCTAACAAATTATTAAAAAGAAAAATGGGAAGGTAAACTAAATTGAGCACAATTTTTTGGGTGATTTGTATGTATTAACAATAGAATATAATTAGTCATATACATTACATAATTATTTTACTTTAACAAACAATTATCAGCTTCCTGTACCTCTAGTTGAAAAGGAGGCCCATTGACCAAACAGTAAAAGTGAATTGTATTATTGAATTACTGAAAAGATGATAAGTTTGATACTCTCTCCCCTTGGTACATCAAATGGTGGCAGACATGGGGGCCATTCGCTAAAGAAAATAAGGGGAAATTATTAGCTCCCAGGGTGTTTTTTAACTTTTTGTGCATTGAAAAATAGGGGTTGTGGCGAGCATGGTGGGTCATTCTCCTCAAAAGGATAGAAAAGAAGCTCATTAAAAGATATAACTTGCCATAAATCTAACAATTAAAAATAAAAAGAAGGTTTTTCCGATCCTTTTTTCTTGGCAACTTCCAGTGTCGCCTTTAATCTTTTCTTTCAATTTGGTAAGTCAATTCTCTCAGACATGGTGGGTCATGAATTCCACTTACAAAAGCAGAGCAAACGTGTTTCAGAGGAATTGGAAAATATGATCTCTGAGTGAATGACATTTTTCCACCCAAGGTGTACCGTAATTAAATTGTCACTCATAAACTTTGAAAAATATATTTTCTCACCCATCAGACGTTAGTTTTAACACTAAAAGAACATTCTTGTCACTTCACACAGTATATATTAATAAACGTAATTATGTGTTTGTTTATTTTTCTGAATTAAAAAAAAAAAGTTAACAATTGTTCTTAAATTTGAATATGAAAATAATGATAATAAAGATCCAAATTACATTACTAATTCACCCTTATATTACTATTAAATACACAAATAAATTACTTCATTAATAATTAATTAATAAAAAAATTCATGATTGGTGAAAATTTAGAATCGTTGTTTGGTTGCTGGAGACCCGTTGCCCGCAACTGGCTTCCCTCGTTGGAGAGAATCCGACAACAAAATTGATACTGAAATGATGCTTCGGAGACGATCTACATATCCAAGTAATATTCATCGGCCAAAAGTTCATATTTTAACTTGACCGTTACTTTCTAATCTTAATATTACAAAAATATATTAGAGTTTACAATTATATTAAGATATATGTTCAAATCGTAACAAGAGCTTCGCTCTGGCACTGGTGGTGTCAATTGACACGCTGCTCTGACGATGGTGGCTGTCATTGATGACCGGTGGATGTCACCTTGATTACAAAAATTGTAAATTTTTTGAATACAAAATTTTATTCAATTTATTTATTAATATAAACCAAACTAGGGGTGAAAAATGTATTTAATAAAGTTTGGTGGGAAAATGTTATTCAGCTTCGTTAAAAATTATAAAATCAAATAATAAAGGGTATTATAGTCTTTTTGTAGCTTTTCCCCTATCAGGTAACAAATTTCATTGACTGAGATTGACAATAGGTGGGAAATTGTTTTTTCTCAAAGCTTATAGGTAAAACATGTGTTTACCGAAAACCTTGGGGGGGAAATTGTGACTCACTCAATGCTTTCTTAATTTATACTTCACTCTGAAGTCGGACTATTTTTAAAGTTTACTCATTACACGCTCTCATTTATCTCTATCAACAAGTCAGTTTTGTGCGATCTAAAGTTACAAGGCGAGTTTCAAATCGTTTATCTCTATCAAGAACTCAGTTTTGAGTGATCTAAAGTTACAAGGTGAGTTTTAATTCATTTTCAATAATTTAATTTCAACTCAGGATAACTTTAATTATCTTCTGCTTTTAGTTGGTTCAGATTTGTGGTGTATGTTTTGATCTTCTGGTTTCTGTTATTATCTACTTGTAGCACTACTTTACTATTACTTGATTTTCTGAAGATAATATTTGATACTAATATCTGTGAGCTAAGGGATAGTCAACTGAAAGTCAACTAATATCTGTGAGGTAATGAATCACTTTTCAGATCTTACAAGATGTTCATCAATCTTCATATATACACACACACACGCGTAGGTGTTAGAGATTTTGAAAATATATGAAGATTGTTGTCATTATTTTACTTGCAGCACGACTCTACCGGTATTTGATTCTCTGGAGAAAGTATTTGCTTTTGCTTTATATATTTGAGGATATATTAGCTTACAGAAAATAAGGTAATTCCTAGCTCTTTGGATCTTTCATTGGTGATCTTCTGAATTACGTTTTGGTTTTAATTAATGATCATTATATATATATATGTGTGTGTGTGTGTTCATTAATCTTCATTTATGCTCATAGGTGATTCAGATTTTGCAAATTTATAAAGATCTAAAGCTACCACACCACCTCAGGTGAATTTCGAGGTCAAAATTTTCCCATTTCAATACGATTGTTTAAACATGAATCTGAAAATAATGATAAACATAGATCCAAATGGAATTTACTAATTCACCCTTATATTTCTATTAAATACACAAATAAGTTACATTCATTAATACTTAATTAAAAAATTTTACATGATTGGTGAATATTTTGAGCCACTGGTTGGTTGCTAGTGACCCACTACTGGCAACCGGCTTCAGCCGTCAGAGAGAGTCCGACAACAAAATTGATATATCATAAATTGATTTTTTTAACATAGGACAACTTTTCAGTCCCAACAAATATATCATAAGCAATCTAAATCTTCAATATTAAGTTGAAATTTTTCAAATTTTCTTCAAAAATAAATACACCAAATAAGGCCAACATGGTGGCTCATTTGCTAAAGAAAAGTAGCTTTTTGATTGTTTTTATACATTATCTTTTGTATTTAAAATTAGAGATGGCAATAGGTCGGGCCAGGATTAGGTACCACTTGGCATGGGCCTAAGCCCGACCCATGACAAAGGCCCAATCCCGATCCGGGCCCGTCATGGGAATGACGGGTAAAGCCCAAGTTCAGCTTGATGGGCTTTTTGTAATCTCAGTCCCGGCCCAAGCCCGCCCATTTTTATAATGTGAATTTTTAAATATTAATAAATTTTAATTTTTTTATCTATGTAGGATAATTTTGTAATTATATATATAGTATAAGGGTAATTTAGTGAAATTGTCAGGTTGGGACTGAAGACATACCCATTCTCGACCCGTACTCAAGGGTAGGCCTTAAAATCAGTCACAAGCCCAAGCCCAAGCCTGCTAACATCGGGTAAAGCCCAACCTTTTGGGATGGGACGGGTCGGGCCGGCTACCCGGAAATACCGGGCCCATTGCTATCTCTAATCTAAGGTTTAATTGAATAACAAAATCTGCCTAGCATTTTAATAATACCAAAGTTTTTGTTGATTGGAGAAATTTATCATGGTGATTGAAGAATTTTGTTCCGGTGATATGAATAATTTGGTTGGTTGGTTTTTTTTTTTTTTCAATAAATGAATTTTATTGTGGTGATATGAAGAATTTTGTTGGGTAAATTACTTTTAATTGAGTTTCTTTATAGGCGATAAATTAATTTGGATTTTAGATTTGGATTCATTTGTTAGTTTTTGATTAATTTGGATTAATTGATTTGTTTGATTAATTTGGAATAAATTAATAGGTCAGACTATTGCAACACAAATTATTAACTTAAAATGAGACACAAACTAACCACCCTTCATTTAAATCTAATCTATTGGCTCATGTGAATTAAACCTTGTAATTAAATTTTGTATTTTTGGGTGATCCCACAACTTTAAGAAAACTCTTTATCTTTCAAAGAGATTTCAAATAGTATTGATCTTGTATTTTGAAAGAGAAACAACGTGAATTCATCACAAACTTTGAATTTTCTATTACAGAATTGAGAATTAATTAAGTTTTTTGTTATGCGTGAAAACTGAGTTTATTGGTGTAATATTGCAAGAGAAGATTTTTTTTCTTCATTCAATTCAATAGAATATGAAGGTTTAATGAGAATTTTGGAAGAAATTACTAAAATTTTCTTTAAGTAGATTAATGGCTATTGCGTGTATGGGTTACAGTGATTGAAGAAAGAGACAGAGGGTTTCTCTTTGTTTACCAAAATAGCATTCAATTTATAAGAGTAGTGACATTATTGAGTGTAAGTTACATGTAAACTCTTTTTACTCAAATTTATATGAACCCTTAGATTAGATTTAGATGAAGGGTGGTTAATTTGTGTCTCATTTTAAGTTAATAATTTGTGTTACAATAGTCTGACCCTAAATTAATATGGTAATTTTTAATGAGGATAAAATAAGTAGTTTAGTGGTCAAAGTCGATTAATCATAGATGGACACTTGAAAGAAAAAAAAAGGGTAAAATTTGCTAATTTTTCAAACTATCGGATGAAATGGTTAAAAGTTCTGAAACGAGGGGTGAGAAAAATATTGAACAAAAGAAAAGGTGAAACACTGTAATTCGGACTTTATAGTTTAATACAGAAGTCTTTACAGACTTGGTGGGTCATTCCACTTAGAAAGACAGGGCCAACCTTCATTGCGTATTTCTCAAGCTGACTGGACTAAAATGTTTTTTTTTTTTTTTTTGACTTTACTCTTTATCCTTAAGTTGGACTGATTATGAATATAATGTGATAGAGATTCATTTGCAGGAAAAACATCGATCACTCAACTAATTTGGTATGATCATTTATGATCTTTAAACCTTGATATAATAATTTACTTTAAATGTGTCCATGATTATTTTTTGCTTTTAGTTCTTTCATTTCACGTTATTTACTTGCAAGATTGATTGAGGACATATTCAATTAGAGAAGAAGGTGAAGAGATTTTGCATTAAAGATCTGAAGTTACAAGGTCAGGTGAATTTCGTGGATACAATTTTCATGTTTCAATATAATTACTTAATAATCTTTGAACATCATCTTGAAAACACTTACTTTTGTTAATGTTTATCTTTCTGATTTTACCTTTATCAACCTCATGTTTAATCGATTTTCGATTTATTTCAATAATTTCAGTAATTTCTTTTATTAGGCAATCTAATAAAATTGAAGTGAGGGAAAAGTAAATCAGTTGGGAGTTGTTAGTTTTGATTGTGTGTGAGGTATATTTCACTTGATACTGTATACGTGTATGGGATAGTGAACTGGAGTTCTCATCCGCAGCTTTCATACTGGATGCATTCTGCTTGAACATAAGGTAAGAAAATTAACTTTTATGCTTTTCCATTCTCTTTAATTATGTTGTTTTAATGGAGCTTAGCAGCTGTATATCACTCAGTGATTAGAAATCTTATCCCAAGACATGTAGCATTCATGTAAAATTGAAGAAGAATTGTAAAAGATTGCTGAAAAACACCAACCTTTGAACCAATAATTGCTTCAAGTGCACCCTAGAAATTAAATTAAAACTATTAAAGATCAAGGACATGCCACAATTACAATGTTCTAGTTGCACCAATTCCAATGTACAAATTGATTAAAGGATAAGAATTTGTAACGTTGATCTATCAGACTAAAATGTGTGTTTTTACTTGGTTATGAAGCTAGGCTTTGCGAATTGTGACTCACATTCTCAAGCCTGTAAGGGATAGGGATTTTGCAAGTATAAAAACATCAGTATCTACTGTTGAGATGAGTTTTCAAAATGTATAGCATATTCATCCTATTTTCTAGATATAAATACATTTTTTATCCTAATTGTAACATTAACATATAAATACACAATTTATTATTCTTTCATTATTACCAAGAATTGTATGTTGAATACATCATAAAATGACTCTAAGTATCATTAATGTGTATGTTCGCTCATCTTCACGCTAATAGCAGGGAACAAAAGTTTCAAGTCTCAAAGTGAGGTGCCTTTTTCTAGGTTGCAACCTTCCATTTAGGTATGATTTTCTTAAGATTTATGAACTTTGTTATTTACTTCTATTACTATTTGTCTTCTGGTTTGTGCTAAACCAGATATGTTAATTCTTCCACTTTCAAATATTTTAATTTACAATTCTAAGAAAGAGGCAAATTAAAAGATTAAGGATGAGGTAAGATAGATAAACAATTGCTTGTGCTAACACCCCAATAGCCGATTGAGATTCTTTATTCATAATTTTGATTAGCTAGTTTCTTGTCTATCATTTGTAGCTTGTTTGAAAATTCTGTGGCGATATCTATCTAGTGAAATTCCAAGAAGTTATTAAAGCCATCCCTTTACTTGAGAAAGTAAGCTAACATTTTTTTCTTTTCTTTTCTATTTCATTCTCTTTAGCCCCTATTAAGTCAAAATCTTGGTTCCGCCACTAAATATTGCACATTCAATTAAGCATTACTATATAATTAAGTGTTACTGTATTGATTTGGTATTAAAATTATTAGGATTTTTGCATTAAAAATCAAAATTTTAAAATTTTTAATGACGAGTATGTGTAGAATATAAGTATCAAGTGCACATTTTTTTTTTTTTAACTTTTTGTAAACAACTTTATCATTAATATTTTTTGGGGATCTCAGTCAATACAAAATCTAACTCTTCTTTTATTGTTTAGATCATTTAGGTAGTTCATCATTTTTCAAGTCAAACTCTTGCTTCTTCAAGATAATACTTTTGACGTTAAATTGTCTTCTTAAGGTACTGTTTCGCACATTGAACTCTCTTATGATATTTTAATGCCATAATATAATATCTTTTTAAATATTATTCTTAACATTGATACAAATTTCTTAATATTATATATTTTTTTTTTAAGTCTGAAGGTGTATGACTTTATATCTTAACTGATGAATTAATTGGAAGGAATTGTTAAAATTTGTGTGAAAATGTTTACGACTTACTTTATATAACCTTTTGTGGGATCGATAAATTTTAAAATTTTGCATCGTTATCAAAACTATAACACTTCTATCATACAGATTTATGATGCTTTTACAAAGGGTTTTGATAATATCATGGATAGGGGTGGCAAACATCCCCGTCCCCATCCCTGTCCATTCGAGGATGGGGCTAGGATCCCCAAGCGGGGATCAAGCATCTCAATAGGAACCCAATCCTTGAATTTAATTAAAAAAAAAAAAAAAGTATTTTTTTTTTTACTTAGGGTATGTGTTTTCATCCCCCTTCCCGAAATCAATTCAGGGATGAGTTTTCATTCCCATCCCCTTCTTGTCTTCGAAATTGACATCGCTTCATGGAGATAATTTTAATCTTTCTAGGGGGCCATTAATCATTCTTTTCTTTTAGTTTGATAAGTCAACTCTCTGAGCAAACGTGTTTGAGTGGAATGGTATATATTACTAAATGTATTTGTTTTCACCACTTATCATTTATGTCAAAACAATTTTGGTGTTTAGGTTATTTGTTTTTTCTGAATTAAAAAAAAGTTAACAATTGTTACTTAAATTTGAATACGAAAATAATGATGATAAAGATTCAAATTAAATTACTAATTCACCCTTGTATTACTATCAAATACACATAGATTTTACATTATATTCTGAAACAAATTACCTTCATTAATGATTAATTAAAAAAAATTTCATAATTCATTTTAAGGGCTGAACATAAAAAATATCCAATTTTTGGAAATCTTTCAACTAAGATCTCTCAAATCAATTTATTTTCTATTTTATTCTAGTCATCAAAACAATTTGGTTATTTTTAATTTTATTCTTAGAAAGAAATAAGATAAATAATTTTCTGTATACTACATTTTTTTACACGAACACTACACCGTACGCCAAAGTGTCTCGCAACAGATTCTTTAAGAACAACCAAATTTGTTACCAATGGGATCCAAGAAACAGAGCACTTGAATCCATTTTGTTAACAATTAGAGGACCTATTATGCTTCAGAAACCCACCACAAATCCAAGAGCCATGCTCGCATAGAACCATTCCACTTCCTGTTCATTACCATCTTTTGCTCCCATTTTCGAAGTTGGTGTTGGAACAATCTCTGTATAGTTCTTTGGAAGGGGAAGTCCACAAGTTCATTGTTGAAAGAAGAGGATGTTCAAGGCTTTCTAGTTGGATGCTAAAGGAATTTCCCAGTCCAGTTATTATTGGATAAGTTCAAAATATTAAAAAATGTCAAACTTTCACATACTTTGTGGGATGTCACCGAGAAGCCGATTTGGGGAGAAATCAACGGACTCCATTGAACTCGTAGCACCGATGTTCTCAGGAATTCTTCCATTAAAAATTTGTGATAAATTCAAAGACTGCAACGCCATAAGGTCGTCCACTTCGTAAGAATTTCTCCTGAGAAACTTATTTTCGTGTAAGTCTAGCTTCTTCTAAATTAAAAATGATATTAAAATTTCCTCTTTTCCTTTCATCACAGAGATACATCCTCAGTAATGGTAGTACCATAGATGGTATATAGTTGAACAAGTCATTTTTCATCATAGCCTTCCACTAAATATTAGACATCTTGGTAAGATCTCATATCACAAAGAAATGGAAAATTGACCGGACAAGAATTATTGGAAAGATCAAGTGCAGACACATTGGAAGGAAAAGAGGTAACTTATCCACTTAAATCAAATTAATAAAGTTTAACACCATCATCTGTCAAGTTTGGAATCCTCCATAGATTATTTGTGAGATGGATTCAAATAATTTAATCCAGAAAGAGATTTCCAAACAATTACAAATGGTATCTGAAATACCCTGACTTGGTATATCAAGATAAACTAATTGCTTTTGCCAAAAACCCAGAATGAAAACTGAGGCCCTAAATAACAACATTCAACTCTAAATGTTGAAGTTGGGAAGGAAAAACTGGATCAGGATAAGCTTTGATCACCTGGGAGTTTCTAGATGCATAAAACAAGACAATCTAGTAGATTATGACCTGGAAACAAATCCATTACATTTGTTATAGGAAAGATCTAGAAATTTCATGGACAAAAGTTTTCCGAAAGACAGTGGATCTCTTCTTGTTCATTCTCTGAAAGCAACATTAGGAACAAACACTAGGATTATCCTGCGAGGTTTTTGCATAAGAAATTGATATATAGATATATTGTGCTAATAACTTTGTTACTCCTATTTTGATAACCTGATATCTAACCAATAGCAACAAGTGCAAGTGGAACCAAAGCCCACAGAAGCTTATTAAACTGGAGAGAGGAAGCAGTGTTGAGGGCGGGACGGGTGCAGTCAATGAAGAGGATGCTGACGGCGATGAAGGATAATTAGGACTAGCACTTGGGCATAGAGAAACTGGAGTCCACTGATCTCAACCTTCTGTCCGTCTTCACAATGACTAGGAACGCCGCATAAAAAATAGTGGTGACCAGATTTTGAGGGTGATGGAGTCGGAGCAATTGTGTAGGTAGCCATAGGAGATGCGGCATTACAGGACTGGAAATCTTGATGTGTACTTCCTTTACACTGTGAAATTGAGTTGTGTAATATAATCTTACATAATTGAGGTACATAAACAAAGTACCTAACATATAATAAATCTAGCTGCAGATTCCCAAAACACAACCAAATTTTTCCCCCAGGCTTTCGGCTATCCTATGTAAAGAAATTTAATAAAGTAAGTTCACATGATCATCCGAATGAAATTTCAGTAAAGTGGTTGCATTCTTGTAAGGTTACAAAGATTTCAAGTCACAAGTCACAAAGTTACTTTTTCTACTGTTTTTCTTCTGATTTCTGCTAAGAACTGAATATCTTAAATCTTCCCACTCTCAATATTTTCAATTTTCTTTCTAGGAAAATTATAAGATTAAGTGGGAGAGAATATATTTAGGACTTGATTGTGTGTGCTAAAACACCGATGGGCCATCAATTTTTTAATCATAATGTTATCTTTCACTTCGAGCTTCTCTCAAATTAGGAGCTGATATTGATCTGGTTAAGTTATAAACTAATATTGAAGTTGCAAATTCTTTTATAATTAAGTCACAAGTCTATGTTATTCAAATAAATAGCTTGCGGTGAATAATCTCAAATCGATCAATATGAACAATTAACTGCTTATCACTGAGGTCCACCAACGTCAATAATGGTATAATGAATAACCAAAACGGGATTCTCCATTGAGAGAGATTTTTTTTTTTTTTTTTTTGAGATAAACCCAGAAATTGTTTGGGAAAGAATAAAAAATTGCAGTCCATAGATGAGATCCCCCAAGCTAACAACTTGGACAGGCCAAGGCAACTACAAAAGACCAAGAAAGGAAAGAAAATCTATCCTTTACAAAAAGGCTAAGCCTAAGACACTAAAGAATCAAACACTTCAAACCCAAAAGAGAATATCCCTGCCCAGTCGAGAGCCACGGCCTAAGACCAGCGCATCAACAAGGAAAAAGTCCCGTTCATTCGTAGTCCGCAAATTCTGCCCCAGCCCAATCTCCTTAGCAAAAGAGATTGAACCTTCGTTGGTTGATGGAGAAGAGGCTACTGTTGGAAGGGAAGTTACCATGAAACCAGGCACAACTAAGGTCGACGCCAATCTCACATGACCGGTTAAAGTATCTCAAGTGACTCGATCCCATGAGCAGCAATCAGTATCCTCTTTCCAAGAGATTGTTACTTCCCCTGCTTTTCAAGAAACAGGACAGTATGTTTAAAGAGAAGGGGATCATGCTTTGATTTTATGCAAGATGGGGATTCTATCAGAGGAGATCACAAACAATGGTGCGATTTTGTTTTGCATGCCAGTGTATTTACCAGATAAATTGAGAATTAGTCCAAGTAAAGAGCAATAGGATAAATATGGAAAGAGACGCTCCAACTAATGTAAAGAGACGATAAACTGAGGTACTCACCAGTCAATGTAGCAGCGGAAGAGAAACAGAGTATTTTACTTACCATTTTTGTTGTATTCTTGTAGCTTTTAATTAATGATGAACAGAGTATCTACCAACTGCTTGTGGAAATTCCCAACGTTACTCACATATCTTAAAAGTTCAAAACAAAGACTATGGCTATGTTCTGTTGATTGAAATTTCTTTTGATTTTTCAGTCGGCTCCACTGAATCATCCAAGAATAAAGGATCTAATTTTGAAGGGATGAAAAGTTTTGAGCTTAAAATTAAGCTTGATCAAGCCAAGCAGCAGCTGTAACGAGTTTAGTAAGCTGTAAGCAGCAGCTGTAAATATAAAGTACAGGTCAACTTTTCTATGGCTTTCCTATGTTCTAATCACATACTATACTAAAAAGCTAATATACAAGATTTTGAGATCTCTTTTATGACTACTTAAAAACAATGAAATCTACTATTACCGATCAGCTATTTAGCGAGGACAATATCATAGCCAATTCATCAACTCTTAAGTAATAAGTTCTCATGTGGCATTTTACAATTTTCTAAAAATTAAAAAAGAAAAATAGGGGTTTGGATATATATAATTAACTCAATAATCACAATTTTAAAAAAAAATCAGTAGAGTTTATTTAGAGGATAAAGTAGTTGTAAAATTTAGTAACTTACTAATTATATCTTAAATGATATAACAAATGACATGTTTTTAATAGATAACGTAAACTAATTAAATTATATAATACTCGAGAATCTAATATTTAGCAGTATAGTTTTAATAGATAAGTTAGACTATGTTAGATTGTGCTAGCACAAACCAACTATCAAATTCTCTCATGTAGTACAAAATCTCTCATTAACCCAAATTTAAAAAAAATTTGAATCATAAGAGGCATTAGGTTGGTGGAGTAAAAAAGGGACTGGAAATGGGAAAATACCATTCCCTTGTTGGTTCAAAGAATTTCAACAAGAAAAGGGATTCCAATCCACTTTCCTTTAAAAAGTGGTGTTGGAAAGAATGCCCATTCCAGGGGCATTTTGATTCGTGTGCGAAAAATGCGCACCTTTCCCTTGTTTCAAATATTTTTTCCTATTTTAACCCTTAAATAGTTATAAATTTCTTTAATTATTTTATTTAATAATTATAATAGTTAAATTAACTATTGTTTATCCCTACAGTTACAACTATGACAATCGCCAACCTACTATCGTTACTAGAATCACACTTCTAACATCGTCATATTATTATTGAATATCCGAATGGAGGATTTGATTGAATAAAGCTAACAAATTATTAAAAAGAAAAAGGGAAGGTAAACTAAATTGAGCACAATTTTTTGGGTGATTTGTATGTATTAACAATAGAATATAATTAGTCATATACATTACATAATTATTTTACTTTAACAAACAATTATCAGCTTCCTGTACCTTAGTTGAAAAGGAGGCCCATTGACCAAACAGTAAAAGTGAATTGTATTATTGAATTACTGAAAAGATGTAAGTTTGATACTCTCTCCCCTTGGTACATCAAATGGTGGCAGACATGGGGCATTCGCTAAAGAAAATAAGGGGAAATTATTAGCTCAGGGTGTTTTTTAACTTTTTGTGCATTGAAAAATAGGGGTTGTGGCGAGCAGGTGGGTCATTCTCCTCAAAAGGATAGAAAAGAAGCTCATTAAAAGATATAAACTTGCCATAAATCTAACAATTAAAAATAAAAAGAAGGTTTTTCCGATCCTTTTTTCTTGGCAACTTCCAGTGTCGCCTTTAATCTTTTCTTTCAATTTGGTAAGTCAATTCTCTCAGACATGGTGGGTCATGAATTCCACTTACAAAAGCAGAGCAAAGTGTTTCAGAGGAATTGGAAAATTGATCTCTGAGTGAATGACATTTTTCCACCCAAGTGTGTACCGTAATTAAATTGTCACTCATAAACTTTGAAAATTATTTTCTCACCCATCAGACGTTAGTTTTAACACTAAAAGAACATTCTTGTCACTTCACACAGTATAATTATAAAAACGTAATTATGTGTTGTGTATTTTTCTGAATTAAAAAAAAAAGTAACAATTGTTCTTAAATTTGAATATGAAAAAAGATAATAAAGATCCAAATTACATTACTAATTCACCCTTAATTACTATTAAATACACAATAATTACTTCATTAATAATTAATAATAAAAAAATTCATGATTGGTGAAAATTAGAATCGTTGTGGTTGCTGGAGACCGTTGCCCGCAACTGGCTTCCTCGTTGGAGAGAATCGACAACAAAATTGATACGAAATGATGTCGGAGACGATCTACATCTCAAGTAATATTCATCGGCCAAAAGTTCATATTTTAACTTGCCGTTACTTTCTAATCTTAATATTACAAAAATATATTAGAGTTTACAATTATATAAGATATATGTTCAAATCGTAACAAGAGCTTCGCTCTGGCACTGGTGGTGTAATGACACGCTGCTCTGACGATGGTGGCTGTCATGATGACCGTGGATGTCACCTTGATTACAAAAATTGTAATTTTTTGAATACAAAATTTTATTCAATTTATTTATTAATATAAACCAAACTAGGGGTGAAAAATGTATTTAATAAAGTTTGGTGGGAAAATGTTATTCAGCTTCGTAAAAATTATAAAATCAAATAATAAAGGGTATTATAGTCTTTTGTAGCTTTTCCCCTATCAGGTAACAAATTCATTGACTGAGATTGACAATAGGTGGGAAATTGTTTTTTTCTCAAGCTTATAGGTAAACATGTGTTTACCGAAAACCTTGGGGGGGAAATTGTGACTCACTCAATGCTTTCTTAATTTATACTTCACTCTGAAGTCGGACTATTTTAAAGTTTACTCATTACACGCTCTCATTTATCTTATCAACAAGTCAGTTTTGGCGATCTAAAGTTACAAGGCGAGTTTCAAATCGTTTATCTCTATCAAGAACTCAGTTTTGAGTGATCTAAAGTTACAAGGTGAGTTTAATTCATTTTCAATAATTTAATTTCAACTAGGATAACTTTAATTATCTTCTGCTTTTAGTGGTTCAGATTTGTGGTGGTATGTTTTGATCTTCTGGTTTCTGTTATTATCTACTTGTAGCACTACTTACTATTACTGATTTTCTGAAGATAATATTTGATACTAATATCTGTGAGCTAAGGGATAGTCAATGAAGTCAACTAATATCTGTGAGGTAATGAATCACTTTCAGATCTTACAAGATGTTCATCAATCTTCATTATACACACACACACGCGTAGTGTTAGAGATTTTGAAAATATATGAAGATGTTGTCATTATTTTACTTGCAGCAGACTCTACCGGTATTTGATTCTGGAGAAAGTATTTGCTTTTGCTTTATATATTTGAGGATATTAGCTTACAGAATAAGGTAATTCCTAGCTCTTTGGATCTTCATGGTGATCTTCGAATTACGTTGTGTTTTAATTAATGATCATTTATATATATATGTGTGTGTGTGTGTTCATTAATCTTCATTTATGCTCATAGGTGATTCAGATTTTGCAAATTTATAAAGATCTAAAGCTACCACACCACCTCAGGTGAATTTCGAGGTCAAAATTTTCCCATTTCAATACGATTGTTTAAACATGAATCTGAAAATAATGATAAACATAGATCCAAATGGAATTTACTAATTCACCCTTATATTCTATTAAAACACAATAAGTTACATTCATTAATACTTAATTAAAAAATTTTACATGATGTTGAATATTTTGAGCCACTGGTGGTTGCTAGTGACCCACTACTGGCAACGGCTTCAGCCGTCAGAAGAGTCGACAACAAAATTGATATATAAATTGATTTTTTTACATAGGACAACTTTTCAGTCCCAACAAATATATCATAAGCAATCTAAATCTTAATATTAAGTTGAAATTTTTCAAATTTTCTTCAAAAATAATACACCAAAAGGCCAACATGGTGGCTCATTTGCTAAAGAAAAGTAGCTTTTTGATTGTTTATACATTATCTTTTGTATTTAAAATTAGAGATGGCAATAGGTCGGGCCAGGATTAGGTACCACTGGCATGGGCCTAAGCCCGACCCATGACAAAGGCAATCCCGATCCGGGCCCGTCATGGAAGACGGGTAAAGCCCAAGTTCAGCTTGATGGGCTTTTGTAATCTCAGTCCCGGCCCAAGCCGCCCATTTTTATAATGGAATTTTTAAATATAATAATTTTAATTTTATCTATGTGGATAATTTTTGTAATATATAATAGTATAAGGGTAATTTAGTGAAATTGTCAGGTTGGGACTGAAGACATACCCATTCTCGACCCGTACTCAAGGGTAGGCCTTAAATCAGTCACAAGCCCAAGCCCAAGCCTGCTAACATCGGGTAAAGCCCAACCTTTGGGATGGGACGGGTCGGGCCGGCTACCCGGAATACCGGGCCCATTGCTATCTCTAATCTAAGGTTTAATTGAATAACAAAGCCTAGCATTTTAATAATACCAAAGTTTTGTTGATTGGGAATTTATCATGGTGATTGAAGAATTTTGTTCCGGTGATATGAATAATTTGGTTGGTTGGTTTTTTTTTTTTTTAATAATGAATTTTATTGTGGTGATAGAAGAATTTTGTGGGTAAATTATTTTAATTGGTTTCTTTATAGGCGATAAATTAATTTGGATTTTAGATTTGGATTCATTTGTTAGTTTTTGATTAATTTGGATTAATTGATTTGTTTGATTAATTGGAATAAATTAATAGGTCAGACTATTGCAACACAAATTATTACTTAAAATGAGACACAAACTAACCACCCTTCATTAAATCTAATCTATTGGCTCATGTGAATTAAACCTTGTAATTAAATTTTGTATTTGGGTGATCCCACAACTTTAAGAAAACTCTTATCTTTCAAAGAGATTTCAAATAGTTTGATCTTGTATTTGAAAGAGAACAACGTGAATTCATCACAAACTTTGAATTTTTATTACAGAATGAGAATTAATTAAGTTTTTTGTTATGCGTGAAAACTGAGTTTATTGGTGTAATATTGCAAGAGAAGATTTTTTTTTCATTCATTCAATAGAATATGAAGGTTAATGAGAATTTGGAAGAAATTACTAAAATTTTCTTTAAGTAGATTAATGGCTATTGCGTGTATGGGTACAGTGATTGAAGAAAGAGACAGAGGGTTTCTCTTTGTTTACCACAAATAGCATTCAATTATAAGAGTAGTGACATTATTGAGTGTAAGTTACATGAAACTCTTTTTACTAAAATATATGAACTAGTTAGATTTAGATGGAGGGTGGTTAATTTGTGTCTCATTTTAAGTTAATAATTTGTGTTACAAAGTCTGACCCTAATTAATATGGTAATTTTTAATGAGATAAAATAAGTATTTAGTGGGTCAAAGTCGATTAATCATAGATGGACACTTGAAAGAAAAAAAAAGGGTAAAATTTAATTTTTCAAACTATCGGATGAAATGGTTAAAAGTTCTGAAACGAGGGGTGAGAAAAATATTGAACAAAGAAAAGGTGAAACACTGTAATTCGGACTTTATAGTTTAATACAGAAGTCTTACAGACTTGGTGGGTCATTCCACTAGAAAGACAGGGCCAACCTTCATTGCGTATTTCTCAAGCTGACGGACTAAAATGTTTTTTTTTTTTTTTTTGACTTTACTCTTTATCCTTAAGTTGGACTGATTATGAATATATGTGTAGAGATCATTTGCAGGAAAAACATCGATCACTCAACTAATTTGGTATGTCATTTATGATCTTAAACCTTGATATAATAATTTACTTTAAATGTGTCCCTGATTATTTTTTGCTTTTAGTTCTTCATTTCACGTTATTACTGCAAGATTGATTGAGGACATATTCAATTAGAGAAGAAGGTGAAGAGATTTTGCATTAAAGATCTGAAGTTACAAGGTCAGGTGAATTTCGTGGATACAATTTCATGTTTCAATATAATTACTTAATAATCTTTGAACATCATCTGAAAACACTACTTTTGTTAATGTTTATCTTTCTGATTTACCTTTATCAACCTCAGTTTAATCGATTTCGATTTATTTCAATAATTTCAGTAATTTCTTTATTAGGCAATCTAATAAAATGAAGTGAGGGAAAAGTAAATCAGTTGGGAGTTGTTAGTTTTGATTGTGTGTGAGGTATATTTCACTTAACTGTATACGTGTATGGGATAGTGAACTGGAGTTCATCCGCAGTTTCATACTGGATGCATTCTGCTTGAACATAAGGTAAGAAATAACTAAGAAAGGAACAAGAAGAGAGGACTTTTTATTAACAATGAAGATGACTTTGATGGATCAGCTCACATGCACAACATATATATAGATTTTTAATTAGCACAAGCGACAGCAGCCATCCAAGTTGGGACAAATGGGCAGCCTCAATTAGCTCATCTTTTTACACAAATGAGTAGACTATATCAGATTCAAACTTCACCAAGTAGACTTTATCAGTGCGTTGAACCATTCAATCTAACCACATACATATATCCGTGTTTGTGGACAGTTATTGTCTTTAGTGGTTGGAAAGTTGTTGAATGGCAAATTAATGGACAATGATATATGCAAAATATGGTCACCTTAAACGTCCCTCAAGTTAAAATAGTGATCCCTTAGCTTGCTTAACTATAAGTAAAAACACCGTCGTCCTGTTCAGTATAATAGGTTCTGTCACGTATAATGTCGGTTGACTGTGTAATATAAGGATGGGTGAAACCCTGATCGAATATATGATTTAACAAGTTTTACAAAGTTAATATTGAACGTGATCAACACTAAAAAGGAGAAAATTGATGAAATCAATGAGAAACTATACAGGAAACCAGAGATGGAGAGAGAGAAACTTGGACAAAATTTACTCTTTTTACTCTACAACAAAACCCTGGTGTCATATCATATGTACCAACAAAACTATCTATGGAATCCCCCCTAAAATTTTCTCTCCATCCGAAAAATAGAGCTAGAAAGTTTCTCATCATCACTGGTCAGCAATTCATTCACTGTCTATAATCAGATGTCCCTCCTCGTGTCAATTCACTTCAGGAATGCTCTGAAGAGCCGGCCGCCATGACCGGTGATGCGACTCGTAACGATCACTGACGTTCATCAACTGGACCAAAACTTGCTGCACAGACAACTCCTTTACGTCCACCTTCCCCAGCAACTCCTCCAGCTGCTTCTTAGTGATCTTGATCTTCACCTCCGTCGTTCCCGTTGTTGAAGACGACGTAAATCCAAGCTTATAATTACCCCCATCGCCACCACCTCCTCCCAGTAGCCCCTCCTCCTCCTCCNTAATAAAATAATATGAAATTGAAATAAAACATCTGAAAAGCTAAACTATAAAATCTGAAACTTGAAAATATTTGAGAAAGAATTTTAAGTTATTGGTGCATCATATCATTCAAAAAATCTTCTAGCGGATAAGTCATTAGTGTATCATATCATTCATACAACTATCTAATAAGATATATTTTTAGATAAACCAATTATAATATAGGTGATTAGGTAAAGACTTCTAGTAGCATAACATAATAATATTGACAATCAAAGACTCTAGTAGTATAACATAATAGTAAAAACTCTCTATAATCATAATGTTGGGATCAACTAAATTTATTATTATGAGGAGGTTATAACTTAATAAAGGTGTAATTACAAGAATTATTTTTTTGATTAAAAAATTATTGTTTTCATTTCTTATTTTATAATTCATGTTTTAATAGGGGTTTAGACATATATAACAAACTCAATAATCACAGTTTTTCAAAATGTGCAGGCTTTATTTTTGTCTTGTTAAATACATCTTTACAGCGAAATTTTGAGAATAAAAATTAATGGTAATGATATATATGAGAATATCTCAAAAAGAATATGGTCTAGTGAATTATACGATTGTGTGCATTTATAGGCTTCAAACCTATCTCAAATATTTTGGTCTTTGTAGTTTTGGCTGCTTCAGGTAAAGATTTGAGGGCTTTCCACAAGTTGTAGCTTGGGCTCATATGTGGTTGTTAAAGACTTAAAACCCAGTGGGGCTTCGGACTTAGAAGGTTGAAGCCTAATAACCAAAGGGTTGAAGGCTTTTCACAGTACATCATATCAATATGGTTCCATTTCTTGAGTGAAGATGATAGAAAAACCCTCTCTTAGGGATACTCGCTGAGGACAGCGGTGGAGACGAAGGTTCTGCGCCCATCCTTGAAAATTGCCAACCATATTCTTTTGCCCTAGCTTGTCTACTTGAAGGTTGACATAAACATAATGCAACATAATTCATATTTTTTGAGATTAGTTTCTAGTTTCTACAGTTATTTCTGTAAACCCCCATATTTTCTTTAAACCCCCTTCCCTTCAAAAAGCGGTAGTTGTTAAGAATGTCATTCTAGGGGCATTTAGTTTTGGAGTAATACAACACCAACAATATTTTTTTTCATAAATTTTCTCTCACAATCCTGATGTGATAACTTGTAATTAATTAGTAGACCTATGTAGGACCCATGTGGGATCTGTTGTGAACTGATCAATTGCAAATTATCACGTCAGAGTTGTGAGAGAGGGTTGTTAATGTAGTTTTTTTCTTAGTTTCGTATGCGGAAAATGTCCAATTTCCCTTGTTTCAAATTTTTCCCTACTTTAACCCTAAAAAGAATTTATTAAAATTTTAATTATTTTTATTTAATATTTAAATTAAATTATTGTTTTATCCTTACGATTACAACCATGACAATTGCTAGTCTATCATCATTACTAGAATCACACTTCTAGTATCACTGTGAAGGACAAGTGGTCACCAGTCATATTATTATTTCAAAACGTTTGGTAATAAAAACCAACAAATAATTAAAAAGAAACAATTATATAAAAACCATGAATTGTTCTAGTGCTTGCTTCACTTCTTGTTCTTCACAAAGAGAATCAACACCAATATTGGACGTGCCCAGATGGATATTCGATCAAATTTTTATGGATAAACCATTTTTTTTATCTTTTTTAGCTTCCATAAAATTGAAAATACATATACTATATATAATTTTAAAAGTGCTTTATGAACTGAGTTTGATTGCTTGTTAGACAACAGAAAAGGGAGAAGTCGTTAATTTAGCAATTAAAATCAGATATCAAGTTGTTATCATCAAACAGTTAAAATAAGCCATTAATCTTGTGAAGCGATATAATTATGTTAAAAAATAAATTTATAAGAGATCTTGTGAAGGGAAAGTAGAAAATTATTTTCTAGGTTAAGAACTCCTTTTGATTGATTCAACCCAGAAGATAAAAAGTGCATAATGGATCCTGAAAAGTTATTGTTGGAAAGATCAAGTTCAGAAACTCAATTTGTTAGTAGAAAGATCTAGACTTTCCAAATATGAAAGTTCTCCTAAAGACAAAGGAATAAGACCGGAAATAGAGTTAGCACTTGAAAAGAAATTCCTGGATCCGCTACTGCCTGATAGTCGAGTTAACGTATCCTCAAATTATGGTATCAAGTCAACCAAAGTTCATCCGACAATTTTACTATATCAATCCATTCTAATCAAGAATTTCGGTATAATACTAGGGTAATGTTACTCCACCCTAAATATAATGGCTATTATTGGGGTAACGGTACCGTAGGATTGTAGGAGATTTCTGCTCATAGAGCAAAATGAAAGGAGTAATGCTATGCTCACTCACATCTTACTAACCATCTTACTATCTTTGTAAATATAACGCATAGTAGGGTACCAACGCATAGTGGTAATATGTGTATTTTAATAAAGTAGTAAGATGGTTAGTAAACTGTGAGAACACAATATTTCTTAAGTGAAAGAATTGAAGGTGGGCCCATACCTTCTCTATTCCCGGCCCAATTTTTAGCAAACTAAGTGTAAGCAAGGCATAGTCACACATAAAATAATGAGTGGGCACACAAATGGGTTTTGAAATCATTGAAAGGCCAAGAAGTAGAATATAACCTATGCTCATTTAATGTCCAATTAGAGGAACATATAATAAAAAGGCATCATAATTAGATAATAATGTACAACCCTTTTGGAGAAATCTTATATTAATTAATGCATGTTTTTGCAAGTGTCCTAAGTAGGTGAAATTGGACTGTGTTTATTTTAAACTTATTTATGAATTTCATAAGGGTAATTGATTAATTTGTCTACCTTTTTCTTGCTACGTAAAAATTATTTAAATAAAAATCATGATGATCATATCTCTAGTCCCCGCTTAACATTTGGACCATTCAAATGCATAATGGAAACCACTCAATGAGCTTATCTTGGCTTGACTAGCCCAAAAAAGATATAAATAATAAATATAAATATTGAAGTATTAAATAATTAAAAAGGGTTAAAAAAAAAAGTTTTTGGGTGTTTATGGGTGCCCTTAATTTTGAGATGATGTAAGGAAGAAGCATGAACAGAAGAATACAATAATGCAAACTATTTTTCATTTGGATGTATTTATAATATATTGTAGGGCATGCTTTTGTTTATCATTGTCAAATACAAATATTGATGATTTTTTTTTTTTATTTGAGAAATTTATCCAAAGAGCAAAGAGTATCTCAATTGTTTCTTGAATACAAATTTCATGATTTCACACTATTTGACACTATTTAGTTCAAATAAATAAAAAAATAACTTAAAATAACAAAATAATATGTATTTTCCATTAAAAAAACCCACCTTCTAATAGTTTAATATAAATAAAAATTATTAAAAAAGATTCAATCTAATATAAACAAATACCTTGTAATAATTATCTCTCCTTTTGTGGTTTGATGACAAACCTTTTTACTATTCAATTAGCTATAGATCTGTCCTCGAGATGAAGAAAGGCTATTACAGGATTTTCCCCAAAAAAAAATTTTTTTTACTTATAATAATTCACTTCTTTACAATCATGTGT